TGCCCCAGCGTTCAAGTCAATGAGAGGGGATATCACCGTCATTAATCAATCGTCAGTGTGGTTATAAGTTGAAGTAAACGACGACGCATCATTAAATTCAATTTTGTTGTTTATCTTATTTTTTGAGTAATACTATTTGAATTTAAAAATTTGATCTAATTTGCTGACATAATGATGTGACTTCAGCACAACCATTGGATCAACACTAAGTTCCAAGGATCCCACAGTCAATTCAAAGATCTTAATAAATTAAGTCAGCAAATTAGGCTAATAAATTAGGTCTCAATAGCATTGCCCTTCTTTTTTTGGGTTTAGTAGTTGGGTGTGGTAGGTGGGTTTTTGATAATTCTAATATTTTTTTTATGTTTAATTTATTAATTTAAGGATAAACTATATTTTATACACTCGATTTTTATGTGGTTCTTGAACAATTAATTAAACAATTAAATCCTTTAAAAAAAATTAATTTGATTGGATATTCACAGCTTTATTATTATTGAAGTTTGGGTAAATTTATGTTTTGGGCACAAATACAACAACGTTGATGGTACGGGTACCCACTGAAGAAAATGGAAATCGGTGGGCATGTCAGATAGAAAAACAACGATATTACAAGAAACCTTGGGCGTGAGGAACGTGTTCTATTATTGTGTGATTGCTCAGCGTTATTATTTGTTTTACAAGCGGTGGGGTGTTCTGTTTTTTTAAATGAATTTAAACTCGATTCGTTTAAAATCTAAATCAGAATAATTCGATTATTTTACGTATAAATGGGTAGAAATTTTTATGCTTATTTTTTAAAATAAATTAAAAAAATTATTTAAATTCAATTCGTTTAAAACACAAATCGAATTCGAACTAAGTTTTATCTGAACCAATTCGGAGTAGCTTGTCTCGATTAATACCCCCAATGGTAGCTATTAGAGCTACTGTTAACCTATATGTGTTAAAAAATTGAGATTTATTTCATAAAATGTTAAAATTGATTCCAAAAATGAGATCCATCCTAAACTTTGTTAAAGCTTATTTCAATGGACCTCCTTGAATTAATCAGGTATCCTGANCAAAAAAAAAAAAAAATTCTCACATACCAACACGCACAAAAGAGACTGAAGTATTGAGCAACAATCCAAGGTGAAAACCAATCCTACAACGCAGCTCAGTTTGCTTCACACAAAAATCTAGATGAACTAAATCCAAAAACTATTCAAATCAAACTTCTCTTGCATATCCCTAAATAATCAATTTCATAAAAAAAATCAAGCAAATAACAAATCAGACCTTCCCCGAGAGGATAATCCAGCAATCTTTGATCTTATTGTGCTTTGCGACCTCCTCAAAATAGTAAACTTTAGAACCTGACGCCATTATTCCCTGCTACAGCATACAAAATCACAATCACATTCAAAATGACTACAATCAAATTGCTGGAACTTATGTGTTGAAACATATGCAAGGATCGTACAAACGATCAGTATATACAGATACTANATATTTCATAAAATGTTAAAATTGATTCCAAAAATGAGATCCATCCTAAACTTTGTTAAAGCTTATTTCAATGGACCTCCTTGAATTAATCAGGTATCCTGATTTAAATGTAAATTTGGTATGATACCAGAAGTAGAAAATGCAGCTGTTTCCCTCGTTAACAAAGTTCAAAGAGAGAGGACAGAGCCGAAATCATCAAGAAAATGAGCCCATTGGGCCTGATTGATAGATGTGAGGAATTCGTTCATATTTGTCCACTGGCCCACATTTATGGGGTAATACTTTGCATCTTATATTTGGGATTTCTGTATGAAAAACGAGTAGGGAGGAACTCTTAGACAAGTGGGTGCAATAAAAAAAAGTTAATGAAATCGATATCAAACAATTTATATTGATTTGAGAAACGATTTAAAATTTATAGCATTGTTCAAATTTGTAGATACAAGGAAGGAATTCCTTCGATCATCAAATTCTCAATTTATATTTTAAAATATTAAATTTTTTACGGACAAAAAAAGTAACAATATAATTCAAAATAAAAATTATTTGTTGCCTTTTTCGACAAATTTTTTATTTTATTTGTTATATTATCTTATTTCGATACACAGCTGTTTGCATTATATTTAATTTTAAGTGTTTTTAATGATGATATTATACTAAATTTCTTTAAAATGGAGTATATTGTTATTTGTTTAGGTAGTTGACGATGTAATATGAGAATTTTAATTTTTTTTAAATATAAATTGAGTATACGAAGTTTTGGGGGGGGGTGTAAAGTGTCATTTTCCCGAATATTTATGTACTTTTAGAAGTTGCATCCCTTCGTAAATTACTCAATTTTCTCACCGTCTTCAACTTGAAGACGGGACGCCAAATCTCCAAAATCTGTGGCCATCTCTTTGTTTGTCTCTGACTCCCTCTCTCTCTCTAACCCCAAAACCCTAGTTGTCGTTTACGTACTGTTAATTCATCACGATAATCAGTGGACGAAGAGGTATTTTGGCGATGAAGGGTGGTTCAGAGACGAAGTTATTGCAAGAATTGATTTTGTACGCAGCGAGCGCCGCTCTCAGCTGCTTGGTGTTGTTCGCTGGACTTCGACACCTCGACCCTAATCGAGAGGCCTCCAAGAAAGCACTAGAACACAAGAAGGAAATCGCCAAGCGTTTGGGTCGCCCTCTCATTCAAACCAACCCTTACGAGGTCTCTCTCTCTCTCTCTCTCTCTCTCTCTGTGCGTGTGTGTATATACATATATATTATTCCTATATACTTTTGTTTGCTTTCTGCCTTAGTTGGTACTGTGCATTCCTTTAGGTTTTTATGTGTGATTGCTCGTAATTGATTTATTTAAAAATACTGATGGGTTTAATATACGTAGTTGGAATCAAATAAGTGCAGTAGAATTAAAATTACTATGCTTTAGAGTAGACAAGTGCAAAAGCCTTATGTGTCCATACTCGGATTTATGTGTCCATGGTGTCCTTTTGATTAAACAAAGTAATTTTTTCGTTGAATTGGGTTTTTGGAAATGGGAAAAATTTTAAATTTTGCTTTAGCTTAATCCTTTGTTTGTATCTGTTTGAGGTTGCTTTATAAACTTTTGTGATGNTTTGTACTTCTGTTCTATTTCATTCTTTGTAGCACTCGCTCAACCCCCCCTCCCCTTTGTCTTTTCTTAAAAAAATTCAATGATTCTTTGGTGCTACACTTTAATCAAGTTCAAATTTGACCAAATTTTCAGGAACTGGATTCGATCCAATGTGGGAAAAATTTAAGAGTTTTTGATATATAAAATTACCCTCTAATAAAGTATGTTAATGAAATGTCAATAATCCTCATAAAATTGTGGATGATAACTATTATACATGTGAGTTAAAATTTTTTTCAGATCGAGTCTGCTGGGATTTGAGTTCGATCCCACTATTACTCGTGTCTGTTAAATTGAATGTGTGTATTCAAACCTGGTAATTTATAGCCTGCTCAGATTCTAATAGACCTTGGAAANTCTTTCACCATACATGATGGTTTAGTAATGTTTACGACTTCACTCAGTTATAGTTATGATTGTATTCTAATTATAGGTTAAGCACATATATTTCAAGTTTTCCGAGGCAATGACAAGCACATTGGCGATGAACTAGATGCGCCTGCATTTGAGGACTATATTTATGATATATATCTAAGTAAGTAACAATGATTCAGCCACCGGTATTGTCCAGTGGCTTTTTGTTTTTTTACCGGGAATGATTACACTTTTGGTTANTTAAAAGTTTTGCACTACATTCAAAATAAAATAAAGAATAGTAATTTAGTCTATTTTAATAAAAGTGATTATAAAAATTGAATGTAAAATACTTTAAATTGAGCAATGTATAAACAATTTTTTTATAGACATAGAAAAAAATAAAATGTACGACAAAAAAAACAATATTTTTAATTTTGCACCACATTATTAATTTTTTTTAATTTGGTTNAGGTTAGGTTAGGTTGATAATTTTCGGTAAGCTGATGTACATGCTTGGCAAGGTTTATATATAATATGGGTTGTTTGATGTCAATATTAGAAGGCAGTTGGCTGCCTCAATACTTGTTGACTCTTGGTTTTGGCATCATATAAAGATGTTCAAAGGCTACCAACTAATCCAAGTGCATTCATGCATTTAGGGTTCAGATTTATTATTACTTAAAAGAAATATGAAAGTTTGGGAAATTGACCGGAAACTTGTAAAGCAGATATAATTNATTATGCAAATCATTAGGAAATGAAAACCATGATTCAGCTAAGTAATGGTCAATCCATGCTACTTTTTTGTCATTAATTTGTTGTTGGATGGAGATGAAAGTATATTTGGATCTCTTGAAAGTACTAAGTTACCCGTATNTTACTGCAAAGTATTTGTAAAAGATTCCAATTTCCAAACTCTCACAAGATCTCCAATCTGCATCTCCAAGCTTGACTAACTTAAGATGATGGGGAAAGAAGGGTGGAAAAAGAACATTTATGAGGGTAGTAGTTGCTCAAAAGAATAAAAAGCCTGAGTTCATTTCCATGTTTTTGACAGCTGCTGCCCTGACTGAAATTCACTAAATTGTCACCTGATATAATGAATCCTAGAATATCAAATTATTCTAATACTAATGTATTTTCCCTTTTTGACGCTGAAAAATAGTTAGCGATGCACTAATTAGCTACACTAATAAGCCTCATGCTACGTGTATTCTTTCTTGCTAGAAAGATTGGTTGGTAACATTTCACCTTTTTTTTTTCCCCGAACAATGACAGACCAATTTATTTACCCAGGGCCGTCCCACCCCGGCCCATCCCACCCCTCCCCTATCCAATATAAGCAGTCAACTCGTATGTCAAGAGAATTACATCACGTCCTACAATTTCTTTATTAGTTATTCTTTTCTTCTTTTTTTTCAAGAAAAAAAGATTTTTGGTTTTCCCTTGTAGGGAAGGGGTTCATTCAATGTTGGTAGATATTACTTCCATGATTTCTACTTGGTAAGGAATTAAAATCTTAAGGATAGCCTTTTATGTTGACTTGTGTCATTTAATCATTAACAGGATGTGATAGCCTGCGATGTAATTAATCCAGACCACATTGATGTGGAGTTCAACTCCATAGGAGGATTGAATACTATCAAGGAAGCATTATATGAATTGGTGATTCTTCCACTACGGAGACCTGAGCTTTTTTGTCACGGGAAGCTCCTTGGTCCACAAAAAGGTGTCTTGTTATATGGACCGCCTGGCACCGGAAAGACTATGCTGGCTAAAGCTATTGCAAAAGAGTCCAGGGCTGTTTTCATTAATGTAAGGGTATCAAATCTAATGAGCAAGTGGTTTGGTGATGCACAAAAACTTGGTGGGTGTAGTGGTTACTCTCTCTGGTATTATTTCTACCAAATGTTGTGATTTGTTTGCTGATTTATCCCAAAACCTTCTGGCAGTTGCTGCTGTATTTAGCTTGGCCTATAAACTACAGCCTGCTATCATTTTCATCGACGAGGTGGACAGTTTTTTGGGCCATCGGAAGACTACAGACCATGAAGCATTAACAAACATGAAGACTGAGTTCATGGCTCTATGGGATGGTTTCACCACCGACCGTGAGTTCTCATTCTCTTAAAGGCTTTGAAACCAAGATACTCTTCTTTGCTTTGAAGTCTGTCCTTCTGTTTCCTATGAAGTGGCTGTCTAATTCTCTATAAGCATACTGGATACTGGATCTATGGTGTGAGTGATGATTTGACTTGCTGATTTTTATGCAGAGAATGCTCGGGTGATGGTGCTTGCTGCGACGAATCGTCCGTCGGAGCTTGATGAAGCAATTCTTCGACGTCTTCCTCAGGCCTTTGAGATTGGGATTCCTGATCACAAAGAGAGGGTTGAGATACTGAAGGTGATTTTGAAGAATGAGAAGATTGAAAAGGACATTGACTTTGACCACATAGCTGGCTTGTGTAATGGATACACTGGTTCAGATCTTCTTGAGCTCTGCAAGAATGCTGCATATTTTCCCATCAGGGATCTACTTAATGACGAGAAGAATGGGAAGTCATCTCCGGTAGGTATTCTTATCATTCTGATGCTACACCATCTAGTTTGCAATTAGATGCTATGTATTCTCCATCGAAGTTATGCTGTGTTAAGCTGACTGTTATCAGATAGCTCATAGCAGTGATCATAGTATGTGAAAATCTTGTGAATTTTTGCCAGTTAAAACTGTGCTCCATTTGCAGGACACTACAAGCAGGCTTCACTATGAATCTAGTGCACCTCATATGCAACCTCCTTGGTTTATCATCATCATTCATCAATCTTCTTGAGATCTTCCTTATGGTTTGAAAACCTCTTTACCCACATAATAGGAACGCCCAGGTTATTACTCATTTACTCTAAAAAAACCTTTGGACCTGCCCTTCTTTCTTGCAACTTCATGTTGCAACCCACAAGCCAGAGACACTGGCTTGCCATCAGAAACCAATTACTTCTCCTAGGCCATTCTACCCTTTTTAATTAATCTGAAACTGGATGGCCCTATTCGTGTTGACCACCCCGCCTCCAATTGACCCAAACCATGCAACTTCCTCCCGATTGGCTTTGGTGCATCTATTGCTTCAACTTCTGACCAATAACTGAAAAGAATTTAAGCCTCTCCGCTGTATAACTAATACTTCACATCAAAATTGCAGTCACCTCCAGTTAGTGACCATTTATCCGTTGAATCACAACCACCTTTGGTCGTTGGCTTTATTCCTTAGCTACTAACTTTCATCACCTTTGAATGAGAACACAAAGCCTCCTTGCACGCATGCTTACACTCAGCAATCCATTTTCTTGGTATCTTCTAACAAAGCTTTACTCTGAATGTTTTGGAAATCCTCCTCTTCGGTTGCTGACAAGATTCATCCTTTTGAGTAGACACCTAAATAAGCCCTTCACTGCCAACTGCTACTGTATACACCAACACTATACCTACCCCTCTACACCTCTTTGGACCAAGTCCATCGTCCAGAAGATCAAAGTTCTGCATGCTGCATGAGCTAACTACATTTTTCTCATGGCTTCTCCATTTCTAACTGTGCTGTCTTGTGAGAAGTTCCTTTTCAGAGGTGGTTTTATATTGGATATCGGATTCTAAAATATGATGATTCTGAATGCTGCTTTCTAATATTGAAATGGCATTGTCTGACTTATTTTTCTGCAAATTTATTGTTTTTTTCCTAAAATTGGTGATGCTGCTTGTATTTGTACTTCTGTTCTATTTCATTCTTTGTAGCACTCGCTCAACCCCCCCTCCCCTTTGTCTTTTCTTAAAAAAATTCAATGATTCTTTGGTGCTACACTTTAATCAAGTTCAAATTTGACCAAATTTTCAGGAACTGGATTCGATCCAATGTGGGAAAAATTTAAGAGTTTTTGATATATAAAATTACCCTCTAATAAAGTATGTTAATGAAATGTCAATAATCCTCATAAAATTGTGGATGATAACTATTATACATGTGAGTTAAAATTTTTTTCAGATCGAGTCTGCTGGGATTTGAGTTCGATCCCACTATTACTCGTGTCTGTTAAATTGAATGTGTGTATTCAAACCTGGTAATTTATAGCCTGCTCAGATTCTAATAGACCTTGGAAATAAAATAAAGTTGGAATCTGATTGTGTTCCAATCTTTTGACAGCCCTGGACAGTTGTGTTAGTCCTGTCTCGCAACAAATAATTGCTTCATAAAAATGATCCATTTTAAAACTTATGCTGCTGCCCATGCTTGTCTTTGCTTAATTGCAATGACTTTTTTAGTTTTAGACATCTCTGAGAATGTCACTTTGTGGTGTCATTTTCTTTTCTAGTCTGCTTTGCTTTGTATAAACTTATTATTTAAGTTTTGCTCTGCTAAATTATGGGGTAATTATGCAAATCATTAGGAAATGAAAACCATGATTCAGCTAAGTAATGGTCAATCCACGCTACTTTTTGGTCATTAATTTGTTGTTGGATGGAGATGAAAGTATATTTGGATCTCTTGAAAGTACATGGTTTTGGAATGCTTCTGCTGCATGTGGTGCAATTCTTAGTCGTGATAAGTTTCTTTGGCTTGTTATTGTTTCCTTTGCAGGAACCAAGGCCATTGTCACAATTAGATCTGAAGAAAGTTGTTGTCACATCAAAAAAAACATTGGTTGCCGCGAGTGAGTATACCAGGTTAAGCTCGCGATCACCGGGATGGCCAAGTCATGGGGAGCCAGATGATTACCATGTCCAAGCTGCAATCAGTGAGATCTCTAAAGTGGTGGTTTCCCAAATGTTGAACCTTCGGTCGGATACCTCAAATCCTTGAAATTGTCACTTCCTCTTTTTAAACCCACAAACACACTGGTGTTACTTATAGTTATATGTCCTAACNTATAATGAATCCTAGAATATCAAATTATTCTAATACTAATGTATTTTCCCTTTTTGACGCTGAAAAATAGTTAGCGATGCACTAATCAGCTACACTAATAAGCCTCATGCTACGTGTATTCTTTCTTGCTAGAAAGATTGGTTGGTAACATTTCACCTTTTTTTTTTCCCCGAACAATGACAGACCAATTTATTTACCCAGGGCCGTCCCACCCCGGCCCATCCCACCCCTCCCCTATCCAATATAAGCAGTCAACTCGTATGTCAAGAGAATTACATCACGTCCTACAATTTCTTTATTAGTTATTCTTTTCTTCNTATACAGCGTCTCATGTTTGGATAGCAATTTGGTACCCAAAAAAAAGTCGGCACCATTTCGGAAGTCACAAATTTTAAAGGTGAAGTTTTAATTGATTAAGTTTATTCATGATCAATCATGAATAATCTCTTAAATAATTATAATTTTTATAATTATACGTAATATTTTAGAATCAATCGTTTTTTTCATTGTATTTTATAAAAAAATTAGAAGTTCATCTTCATGTGTACTCAATTTATTTTCTTCAGTTCTTGTGTTGTTTTATGATGATGAGTAAGTAATCAAGGGGCAACATGTGGTGTNTCTTTTTTTTCAAGAAAAAAAGATTTTTGGTTTTCCCTTGTAGGGAAGGGGTTCATTCAATGTTGGTAGATATTACTTCCATGATTTCTACTTGGTAAGGAATTAAAATCTTAAGGATAGCCTTTTACGTTGACTTGTGTCATTTAATCATTAACAGGATGTGATAGCCTGCGATGTAATTAATCCAGACCACATTGATGTGGAGTTCAACTCCATAGGAGGATTGAATACTATCAAGGAAGCATTATATGAATTGGTGATTCTTCCACTACGGAGACCTGAGCTTTTTTGTCACGGGAAGCTCCTTGGTCCACAAAAAGGTGTCTTGTTATATGGACCGCCTGGCACCGGAAAGACTATGCTGGCTAAAGCTATTGCAAAAGAGTCCAGGGCTGTTTTCATTAATGTAAGGGTATCAAATCTAATGAGCAAGTGGTTTGGTGATGCACAAAAACTTGGTGGGTGTAGTGGTTACTCTCTCTGGTATTATTTCTACCAAATGTTGTGATTTGTTTGCTGATTTATCCCAAAACCTTCTGGCAGTTGCTGCTGTATTTAGCTTGGCCTATAAACTACAGCCTGCTATCATTTTCATCGACGAGGTGGACAGTTTTTTGGGCCATCGGAAGACTACAGACCATGAAGCATTAACAAACATGAAGACTGAGTTCATGGCTCTATGGGATGGTTTCACCACCGACCGTGAGTTCTCATTCTCTTAAAGGCTTTGAAACCAAGATACTCTTCTTTGCTTTGAAGTCTGTCCTTCTGTTTCCTATGAAGTGGCTGTCTAATTCTCTATAAGCATACTGGATACTGGATCTATGGTGTGAGTGATGATTTGACTTGCTGATTTTTATGCAGAGAATGCTCGGGTGATGGTGCTTGCTGCAACGAATCGTCCGTCGGAGCTTGATGAAGCAATTCTTCGACGTCTTCCTCAGGCCTTTGAGATTGGGATTCCTGATCACAAAGAGAGGGTTGAGATACTGAAGGTGATTTTGAAGAATGAGAAGATTGAAAAGGACATTGACTTTGACCACATAGCTGGCTTGTGTAATGGATACACTGGTTCAGATCTTCTTGAGCTCTGCAAGAATGCTGCATATTTTCCCATCAGGGATCTACTTAATGACGAGAAGAATGGGAAGTCATCTCCGGTAGGTATTCTTATCATTCTGATGCTACACCATCTAGTTTGCAATTAGATGCTATGTATTCTCCATCGAAGTTATGCTGTGTTAAGCTGACTGTTATCAGATAGCTCATAGCAGTGATCATAGTATGTGAAAAGCTTGTGAATTTTTGCCAGTTAAAACTGTGCTCCATTTGCAGGACACTACAAGCAGGCTTCACTATGAATCTAGTGCACCTCATATGCAACCTCCTTGGTTTATCATCATCATTCATCAATCTTCTTGAGATCTTCCTTATGGTTTGAAAACCTCTTTACCCACATAATAGGAACGCCCAGGTTATTACTCATTTACTCTAAAAAAACCTTTGGACCTGCCCTTCTTTCTTGCAACTTCATGTTGCAACCCACAAGCCAGAGACACTGGCTTGCCATCAGAAACCAATTACTTCTCCTAGGCCATTCTACCCTTTTTAATTAATCTGAAACTGGATGGCCCTATTCGTGTTGACCACCCCGCCTCCAATTGACCCAAACCATGCAACTTCCTCCCGATTGGCTTTGGTGCATCTATTGCTTCAACTTCTGACCAATAACTGAAAAGAATTTAAGCCTCTCCGCTGTATAACTAATACTTCACATCAAAATTGCAGTCACCTCCAGTTAGTGACCATTTATCCGTTGAATCACAACCACCTTTGGTCGTTGGCTTTATTCCTTAGCTACTAACTTTCATCACCTTTGAATGAGAACACAAAGCCTCCTTGCACGCATGCTTACACTCAGCAATCCATTTTCTTGGTATCTTCTAACAAAGCTTTACTCTGAATGTTTTGGAAATCCTCCTCTTCGGTTGCTGACAAGATTCATCCTTTTGAGTAGACACCTAAATAAGCCCTTCACTGCCAACTGCTACTGTATACACCAACACTATACCTACCCCTCTACACCTCTTTGGACCAAGTCCATCGTCCAGAAGATCAAAGTTCTGCATGCTGCATGAGCTAACTACATTTTTCTCATGGCTTCTCCATTTCTAACTGTGCTGTCTTGTGAGAAGTTCCTTTTCAGAGGTGGTTTTATATTGGATATCGGATTCTAAAATATGATGATTCTGAATGCTGCTTTCTAATATTGAAATGGCATTGTCTGACTTATTTTTCTGCAAATTTATTGTTTTTTTCCTAAAATTGGTGATGCTGCTTGTATTTGTACTTCTGTTCTATTTCATTCTTTGTAGCACTCGCTCAACCCCCCCTCCCCTTTGTCTTTTCTTAAAAAAATTCAATGATTCTTTGGTGCTACACTTTAATCAAGTTCAAATTTGACCAAATTTTCAGGAACTGGATACGATCCAATGTGGGAAAAATTTAAGAGTTTTTGATATATAAAATTACCCTCTAATAAAGTATGTTAAGGAAATGTCAATAATCCTCATAAAATTGTGGATGATAACTATTATACATGTGAGTTAAATTTTTTTTCAGATCGAGTCTGCTGGGATTTGAGTTCGATCCCACTATTACTTGTGTCTGTTAAATTGAATGTGTGTATTCAAACCTGGTAATTTATAGCCTGCTCAGATTCTAATAGACCTTGGAAGTAAAATAAAGTTGGAATCTGATTGTGTTCCAATCTTTTGACAGCCCTGGACAGTTGTGTTAGTCCTGTCTCGCAACAAATAATTGCTTCATAAAAATGATCCATTTTAAAACTTATGCTGCTGCCCATGCTTGTCTTTGCTTAATTGCAATGACTTTTTTAGTTTTAGACATCTCTGAGAATGTCACTTTGTGGTGTCATTTTCTTTTCTAGTCTGCTTTGCTTTGTATAAACTTATTATTTAAGTTTTGCTCTGCTAAATTATGGGGTAATTATGCAAATCATTAGGAAATGAAAACCATGATTCAGCTAAGTAATGGTCAATCCACGCTACTTTTTGGTCATTAATTTGTTGTTGGATGGAGATGAAAGTATATTTGGATCTCTTGAAAGTACATGGTTTTGGAATGCTTCTGCTGCATGTGGTGCAATTCTTAGTCGTGATAAGTTTCTTTGGCTTGTTATTGTTTCCTTTGCAGGAACCAAGGCCATTGTCACAATTAGATCTGAAGAAAGTTGTTGTCACATCAAAAAAAACATTGGTTGCCGCGAGTGAGTATACCAGGTTAAGCTCGCGATCACCGGGATGGCCAAGTCATGGGGAGCCAGATGATTACCATGTCCAAGCTGCAATCAGTGAGATCTCTAAAGTGGTGGTTTCCCAAATGTTGAACCTTCGGTCGGATACCTCAAATCCTTGAAATTGTCACTTCCTCTTTTTAAACCCACAAACACACTGGTGTTACTTATAGTTATATGTCCTAACAATGTATATTCTCTAGTTTGGGTATATCGGGTTTGGATAAATTACCAAGTTTGTGATCTTATATGAGGCAGCTGCTGTACCGTTAACCCTCTAAGCATCTTATATCTCTAATGTTTTTCACATTCCAGATTTTCTATACAGCGTCTCATGTTTGGATAGCAATTTGGTACCCAAAAAAAAGTCGGCACCATTTCGGAAGTCACAAATTTTAAAGGTGAAGTTTTAATTGATTAAGTTTATTCATGATCAATCATGAATAATCTCTTAAATAATTATAATTTTTATAATTATACGTAATATTTTAGAATCAATCGTTTTTTTCATTGTATTTTATAAAAAAATTAGAAGTTCATCTTCATGTGTACTCAATTTATTTTCTTCAGTTCTTGTGTTGTTTTATGATGATGAGTAAGTAATCAAGGGGCAACATGTGGTGTTAGACTACAGTATTGAAGCCAACTCCCAACATGTGATTCAGTAATGATGGGTACGAACTTTGACATTGATTCCGTATGGCCATACATATTTAAAGGATGGCATCATTGGAAGTTCATCTTGNTCCATAGGAGGATTGAATACTATCAAGGAAGCATTATATGAATTGGTGATTCTTCCACTACGGAGACCTGAGCTTTTTTGTCACGGGAAGCTCCTTGGTCCACAAAAAGGTGTCTTGTTATATGGACCGCCTGGCACCGGAAAGACTATGCTGGCTAAAGCTATTGCAAAAGAGTCCAGGGCTGTTTTCATTAATGTAAGGGTATCAAATCTAATGAGCAAGTGGTTTGGTGATGCACAAAAACTTGGTGGGTGTAGTGGTTACTCTCTCTGGTATTATTTCTACCAAATGTTGTGATTTGTTTGCTGATTTATCCCAAAACCTTCTGGCAGTTGCTGCTGTATTTAGCTTGGCCTATAAACTACAGCCTGCTATCATTTTCATCGACGAGGTGGACAGTTTTTTGGGCCATCGGAAGACTACAGACCATGAAGCATTAACAAACATGAAGACTGAGTTCATGGCTCTATGGGATGGTTTCACCACCGACCGTGAGTTCTCATTCTCTTAAAGGCTTTGAAACCAAGATACTCTTCTTTGCTTTGAAGTCTGTCCTTCTGTTTCCTATGAAGTGGCTGTCTAATTCTCTATAAGCATACTGGATACTGGATCTATGGTGTGAGTGATGATTTGACTTGCTGATTTTTATGCAGAGAATGCTCGGGTGATGGTGCTTGCTGCGACGAATCGTCCGTCGGAGCTTGATGAAGCAATTCTTCGACGTCTTCCTCAGGCCTTTGAGATTGGGATTCCTGATCACAAAGAGAGGGTTGAGATACTGAAGGTGATTTTGAAGAATGAGAAGATTGAAAAGGACATTGACTTTGACCACATAGCTGGCTTGTGTAATGGATACACTGGTTCAGATCTTCTTGAGCTCTGCAAGAATGCTGCATATTTTCCCATCAGGGATCTACTTAATGACGAGAAGAATGGGAAGTCATCTCCGGTAGGTATTCTTATCATTCTGATGCTACACCATCTAGTTTGCAATTAGATGCTATGTATTCTCCATCGAAGTTATGCTGTGTTAAGCTGACTGTTATCAGATAGCTCATAGCAGTGATCATAGTATGTGAAAATCTTGTGAATTTTTGCCAGTTAAAACTGTGCTCCATTTGCAGGACACTACAAGCAGGCTTCACTATGAATCTAGTGCACCTCATATGCAACCTCCTTGGTTTATCATCATCATTCATCAATCTTCTTGAGATCTTCCTTATGGTTTGAAAACCTCTTTACCCACATAATAGGAACGCCCAGGTTATTACTCATTTACTCTAAAAAAACCTTTGGACCTGCCCTTCTTTCTTGCAACTTCATGTTGCAACCCACAAGCCAGAGACACTGGCTTGCCATCAGAAACCAATTACTTCTCCTAGGCCATTCTACCCTTTTTAATTAATCTGAAACTGGATNTCTAAAAAAACCTTTGGACCTGCCCTTCTTTCTTGCAACTTCATGTTGCAACCCACAGGCCAGAGACACTGGCTTGCCATCAGAAACCAATTACTTCTCCTAGGCCATTCTACCCTTTTTAATTAATCAGAAACTGGACNACCCACAAGCCAGAGACACTGGCTTGCCATCAGAAACCAATTACTTCTCCTAGGCCATTCTACCCTTTTTAATTAATCTGAAACTGGATGGCCCTATTCGTGTTGACCACCCCGCCTCCAATTGACCCAAACCATGCAACTTCCTCCCGATTGGCTTTGGTGCATCTATTGCTTCAACTTCTGACCAATAACTGAAAAGAATTTAAGCCTCTCCGCTGTATAACTAATACTTCACATCAAAATTGCAGTCACCTCCAGTTAGTGACCATTTATCCGTTGAATCACAACCACCTTTGGTCGTTGGCTTTATTCCTTAGCTACTAACTTTCATCACCTTTGAATGAGAACACAAAGCCTCCTTGCACGCATGCTTACACTCAGCAATCCATTTTCTTGGTATCTTCTAACAAAGCTTTACTCTGAATGTTTTGGAAATCCTCCTCTTCGGTTGCTGACAAGATTCATCCTTTTGAGTAGACACCTAAATAAGCCCTTCACTGCCAACTGCTACTGTATACACCAACACTATACCTACCCCTCTACACCTCTTTGGACCAAGTCCATCGTCCAGAAGATCAAAGTTCTGCATGCTGCATGAGCTAACTACATTTTTCTCATGGCTTCTCCATTTCTAACTGTGCTGTCTTGTGAGAAGTTCCTTTTCAGAGGTGGTTTTATATTGGATATCGGATTCTAAAATATGATGATTCTGAATGCTGCTTTCTAATATTGAAATGGCATTGTCTGACTTATTTTTCTGCAAATTTATTGTTTTTTTCCTAAAATTGGTGATGCTGCTTGTATTTGTACTTCTGTTCTATTTCATTCTTTGTAGCACTCGCTCAACCCCCCCTCCCCTTTGTCTTTTCTTAAAAAAATTCAATGATTCTTTGGTGCTACACTTTAATCAAGTTCAAATTTGACCAAATTTTCAGGAACTGGATTCGATCCAATGTGGGAAAAATTTAAGAGTTTTTGATATATAAAATTACCCTCTAATAAAGTATGTTAATGAAATGTCAATAATCCTCATAAAATTGTGGATGATAACTATTATACATGTGAGTTAAAATTTTTTTCAGATCGAGTCTGCTGGGATTTGAGTTCGATCCCACTATTACTCGTGTCTGTTAAATTGAATGTGTGTATTCAAACCTGGTAATTTATAGCCTGCTCAGATTCTAATAGACCTTGGAAATAAAATAAAGTTGGAATCTGATTGTGTTCCAATCTTTTGACAGCCCTGGACAGTTGTGTTAGTCCTGTCTCGCAACAAATAATTGCTTCATAAAAATGATCCATTTTAAAACTTATGCTGCTGCCCATGCTTGTCTTTGCTTAATTGCAATGACTTTTTTAGTTTTAGACATCTCTGAGAATGTCACTTTGTGGTGTCATTTTCTTTTCTAGTCTGCTTTGCTTTGTATAAACTTATTATTTAAGTTTTGCTCTGCTAAATTATGGGGTAATTATGCAAATCATTAGGAAATGAAAACCATGATTCAGCTAAGTAATGGTCAATCCATGCTACTTTTTTGTCATTAATTTGTTGTTGGATGGAGATGAAAGTATATTTGGATCTCTTGAAAGTACTAAGTTACCCGTATTGGTTTTGGAATGCTTCTGCTGCATGTGGTGCAATTCTTAGTCGTGATAAGTTTCTTTGGCTTGTTATTGTTTCCTTTGCAGGAACCAAGGCCATTGTCACAATTAGATCTGAAGAAAGTTGTTGTCACATCAAAAAAAACATTGGTTGCCGCGAGTGAGTATACCAGGTTAAGCTCGCGATCACCGGGATGGCCAAGTCATGGGGAGCCAGATGATTACCATGTCCAAGCTGCAATCAGTGAGATCTCTAAAGTGGTGGTTTCCCAAATGTTGAACCTTCGGTCGGATACCTCAAATCCTTGAAATTGTCACTTCCTCTTTTTAAACCCACAAACACACTGGTGTTACTTATAGTTATATGTCCTAACAATGTATATTCTCTAGTTTGGGTATATCGGGTTTGGATAAATTACCAAGTTTGTGATCTTATATGAGGCAGCTGCTGTACCGTTAACCCTCTAAGCATCTTATATCTCTAATGTTTTTCACATTCCAGATTTTCTATACAGCGTCTCATGTTTGGATAGCAATTTGGTACCCAAAAAAAAGTCGGCACCATTTCGGAAGTCACAAATTTTAAAGGTGAAGTTTTAATTGATTAAGTTTATTCATGATCAATCATGAATAATCTCTTAAATAATTATAATTTTTATAATTATACGTAATATTTTAGAATCAATCGTTTTTTTCATTGTATTTTATAAAAAAATTAGAAGTTCATCTTCATGTGTACTCAATTTATTTTCTTCAGTTCTTGTGTTGTTTTATGATGATGAGTAAGTAATCAAGGGGCAACATGTGGTGTTAGACTACAGTATTGAAGCCAACTCCCAACATGTGATTCAGTAATGATGGGTACGAACTTTGACATTGATTCCGTATGGCCATACATATTTAAAGGATGGCATCATTGGAAGTTCATCTTGTATACAGGCCAATCATTAATTGCTGTTGGCTGACTTTTCATGGGGTTCTGGGCGTGGCAACGGTGACAACACCTTTAATGGATGGTCCAGCTGAAGTTGTAGGCTGATCTCTGTTCATGTTTTAAGTTGATACAGCTGTGGGTAACTCATATATATATATATATATATCGGTGTATGAATTTGATATAAATAAAATATTTATTGACACAAACTCATTAAGAGTACAAATTTATCGAGAGTCGACACGATTGACAGGTCTACACATTATAATATTGAAAAAAGTGATATTTTTTATTTTATAGTTTATATTATTTTATTCTTTTTTAATTAATAATTAATAATTATTTAATATAAAATCAATGATCGAAATTAATAAAGCATCGTGATTAATAAGGCCATCAAAAATATCTGGCAGCGGGTAGGAGTATCTGAAATTTTTGACATTTGAAAGATTCTGAACTTTTTTGATTTTTGTCATAAAAGATTAAAAGTTTTGCACTACATTCAAAATAAAATAAAGAATAGTAATTTAGTCTATTTTAATAAAAGTGATTATAAAAATTGAATGTAAAATACTTTAAATTGAGCAATGTATAAACAATTTTTTTATAGACATAGAAAAAAATAAAATGTACGACAAAAAAAACAATATTTTTAATTTTGCACCACATTATTAATTTTTTTTAATTTGGATGAATTTTTTATCTTTTTTTATCACGGACAAATTCTACCATCTCTATTTAAAAGCAAAAGTGTCAGAACCGTCATTTAACCCACAGATTGAATGTTTAATATTTGAATTTTAAATTATCATTTCTCACTCGAAATTCTTTGGTGGTTCGTGAACAAACAAACAACCGATGTAGACGACTTGGGAAATCGTGCTGAAAGACATTGTTGGTGTTTTTGGTTGGATTTTGGCATCTTTCATTTGGTTTTAGGAGAGACTTTTATTTTGGGTGGTTGAATGTACACTTCAGAAAAAGGCCCTTTTTTGGGAATCGTGTGTTTGGACACCAGATGTTTTTGTCATTGTTAAAAGAAAAATGTCACGTTTACCAAATTTTTTATTTATTTTAAATGATATGACCTAATTTTCATTATATATTAACGAAATAAACTTATCTAATTCATTGTGAAAAACTGTGTTATATTATTTGGGATAAAAATTTGATATGAAAATTTGGTAAGCATACTATTACCCTTGTTAAAATAGTAATAAAGATGTATTGTAAACTCAGACGTTCTGAATTTAAATATTTATAATTTTTTTGGGTTAGACTATCTGAGATTTATCTTTCATGAATACTTTTGTCTCTGGGTGAATGACATGTCTTTGATCAAATCAAGAAAAAAATTAGTTGATGCATACGTCAATTGACCTGAACGCCTCCAGATAAAAAAAAATTTAAAAAAAGAGATGTGATTGTCATTTCATGTGTGTTGAANTTACACTCAGCAATCCATTTTCTTGGTATCTTCTAACAAAGCTTTACTCTGAATGTTTTGGAAATCCTCCTCGTCGGTTGCTGACAAGATTCATCCTTTTGAGTAGACACCTAAATAAGCCGNTAGAATCTATACTTGAAATACAGATTTTAGATATATTTAATAATTCAAAAATTATGTGCATTAACCAAAATCGAGTTTTATGGGTCTGGGGACTTAAATTCAGGGGGTTTGAATTGTTGTCCCGAATTTTAAGGGGTAGTTGAAGTGGTAATAAAGACGAGTTGTAAAATTAGTTCGAATATTGACAACCCTTTGGAGTTAGCTCATTAATACCTTAGTCCTAGCGTGGATAGTCTGTCTTTGACCAGACCAAGAAAAAAATTAATCAAGATGTGCGTAAGTTAGTCCAGACAACCTTGGTCGTTGGATCAAAAAAAAAGAAAAATTTTGTCTGAGTGGGTANCCTTCACTGCCAACTGCTACTGTATACACCAACACTATACCTACCCCTCTACACCTCTTTGGACCAAGTCCATCGTCCAGAAGATCAAAGTTCTGCATGCTGCATGAGCTAACTACAATTTTCTCATGGCTTCTCCATTTCTAACTGTGCTGTCTTGTGAGAAGTTCCTTTTCAGAGGTGGTTTTATATTGGATATCGGATTCTAAAATATGATGATTCTGAATGCTGCTTTCTAATATTGAAATGGCATTGTCTGACTTATTTTTCTGCAAATTTATTGTTTTTTTCCTAAAATTGGTGATGCTGCTTGTATTTGTACTTCTGTTCTATTTCATTCTTTGTAGCACTCGCTCAACCCCCCCTCCCCTTTGTCTTTTCTTAAAAAAATTCAATGATTCTTTGGTGCTACACTTTAATCAAGTTCAAATTTGACCAAATTTTCAGGAACTGGATACGATCCAATGTGGGAAAAATTTAAGAGTTTTTGATATATAAAATTACCCTCTAATAAAGTATGTTAAGGAAATGTCAATAATCCTCATAAAATTGTGGATGATAACTATTATACATGTGAGTTAAAATTTTTTTCAGATCGAGTCTGCTGGGATTTGAGTTCGATCCCACTATTACTTGTGTCTGTTAAATTGAATGTGTGTATTCAAACCTGGTAATTTATAGCCTGCTCAGATTCTAATAGACCTTGGAAGTAAAATAAAGTTGGAATCTGATTGTGTTCCAATCTTTTGACAGCCCTGGACAGTTGTGTTAGTCCTGTCTCGCAACAAATAATTGCTTCATAAAAATGATCCATTTTAAAACTTATGCTGCTGCCCATGCTTGTCTTTGCTTAATTGCAATGACTTTTTTAGTTTTAGACATCTCTGAGAATGTCACTTTGTGGTGTCATTTTCTTTTCTAGTCTGCTTTGCTTTGTATAAACTTATTATTTAAGTTTTGCTCTGCTAAATTATGGGGTAATTATGCAAATCATTAGGAAATGAAAACCATGATTCAGCTAAGTAATGGTCAATCCATGCTACTTTTTTGTCATTAATTTGTTGTTGGATGGAGATGAAAGTATATTTGGATCTCTTGAAAGTACTAAGTTACCCGTATTGGTTTTGGAATGCTTCTGCTGCATGTGGTGCAATTCTTAGTCGTGATAAGTTTCTTTGGCTTGTTATTGTTTCCTTTGCAGGAACCAAGGCCATTGTCACAATTAGATCTGAAGAAAGTTGTTGTCACATCAAAAAAAACATTGGTTGCCGCGAGTGAGTATACCAGGTTAAGCTCGCGATCACCGGGATGGCCAAGTCATGGGGAGCCAGATGATTACCATGTCCAAGCTGCAATCAGTGAGATCTCTAAGGTGGTGGTTTCCCAAATGTTGAACCTTCGGTCGGATACCTCAAATCCTTGAAATTGTCACTTCCTCTTTTTAAACCCACAAACACACTGGTGTTACTTATAGTTATATGTCCTAAGAATGTATATTCTCTAGTTTGGGTATATCGGGTTTGGATAAATTACCAAGTTTGTGATCTTATATGAGGCAGCTGCTGTACCGTTAACCCTCTAAGCATCTTATATCTCTAATGTTTTTCACATTCCAGATTTTCTATACAGCGTCTCATGTTTGGATAGCAATTTGGTACCCAAAAAAAAGTCGGCACCATATCGGAAGTCACAAATTTTAAAGGTGAAGTTTGAATTGATTAAGTTTATTCATGATCAATCATGAATAATTATAATTTTTATAATTATTCGTAATATTTTAGAATCAATCGTTTTTTTCCTTGTATTTTATAAAAAAATTATAAGTTCATCTTCATGTGTACTCAATTTATTTTCTTCAGTTCTTGTGTTGTTTTATGATGATGAGTAAGTAATCAAGGGGCAACATGTGGTGTTAGACTACAGTATTGAAGCCAACTCCCAACATGTGATTCAGTAATGATGGGTACGAACTTTGACATTGATTCCGTATGGCCATACATATTTAAAGGATGGCATCATTGGAAGTTCATCTTGTATACAGGCCAATCATTAATTGCTGTTGGCTGACTTTTCATGGGGTTCTGGGCGTGGCAACGGTGACAACACCTTTAATGGATGGTCCAGCTGAAGTTGTAGGCTGATCTCTGTTCATGTTTTAAGTTGATACAGCTGTGGGTAACTCATATATATATATATATATATCGGTGTATGAATTTGATATAAATAAAATATTTATTGACACAAACTCATTAAGAGTACAAATTTATCGAGAGTCGACACGATTGACAGGTCTACACATTATAATATTGAAAAAAGTGATATTTTTTATTTTATAGTTTATATTATTTTATTCTTTTTTAATTAATAATTAATAATTATTTAATATAAAATCAATGATCGAAATTAATAAAGCATCGTGATTAATAAGGCCATCAAAAATATCTGGCAGCGGGTAGGAGTATCTGAAATTTTTGACATTTGAAAGATTCTGAACTTTTTTAATTTTTGTCATAAAAGATTAAAAGTTTTGCACTACATTCAAAATAAAATAAAGAATAGTAATTTAGTCTATTTTAATAAAAGTGATTATAAAAATTGAATGTAAAATACTTTAAATTGAGCAATGTATAAACAATTTTTTTATAGACATAGAAAAAAATAAAATGTACGACAAAAAAAACAATATTTTTAATTTTGCACCACATTATTAATTTTTTTTAATTTGGATGAATTTTTTATCTTTTTTTATCACGGACAAATTCTACCATCTCTATTTAAAAGCAAAAGTGTCAGAACCGTCATTTAACCCACAGATTGAATGTTTAATATTTGAATTTTAAATTATCATTTCTCACTCGAAATTCTTTGGTGGTTCGTGAACAAACAAACAACCGATGTAGACGACTTGGGAAATCGTGCTGAAAGACATTGTTGGTGTTTTTGGTTGGATTTTGGCATCTTTCATTTGGTTTTAGGAGAGACTTTTATTTTGGGTGGTTGAATGTACACTTCAGAAAAAGGCCCTTTTTTGGGAATCGTGTGTTTGGACACCAGATGTTTTTGTCATTGTTAAAAGAAAAATGTCACGTTTACCAAATTTTTTATTTATTTTAAATGATATGACCTAATTTTTATCATTATATATTAACCAAATTCACTTATTTAATTCATAGTGAAAAACTGTGTTACATTATTTGAGATAAAAATTTGATATGAAAATTTGGTAAACATAGTATTATCCTTGTTAAAATAGTAATAAAAATGTATTATAAACTTAGACGTTTTGAATTTAAATATTTATAATTTTTTTGGATTAGATTATCTGAGATTTATCTTTCATGAATACTTTTGTCTCCGCGTGAATGACATGTTTTTGATCAAATCAAGAAAAAAATTAATTGATGTATACGTCAATTGACCTGAACGCCTCCAAATAAAAAAAAAATTAAAAAAAGAGATGTGATTGTCGTTTCATGTGTGTTGAGGAAGAATTATTCTTAATACACTCTTAAATTTATAGAATCTATACTTGAAATACAGATTTTAGATATATTTAATAATTCAAAAATTATGTGCGTTAACCAAAATCGAGTTTTATGGTCTGGGGACTTAAATTCAGGGGGTTTGAATTGTTGTCCCGAATTTTAAGGGGTAGTTGAAGTGGTAATAGAGACGAGTTGTAAAATTAGACGTCTTAAGTTCGAATCTTGACAACCCTTTGGAGCCAACTCATTAATACCTTAGTCCCAGCGTGGATAGTCTGTCTTTGACCAGACCAAGAAAAAAATTAATCAAGATATGCGTAAGTTAGTTCAGACAATCTTGGCCGTTGGATCAAAAAAAAAAGAAAAATTTTGTCTGAGTGGGTATGTTATTTTTTGTGGTGTCTTACAAAATGATCAGTTTATTATAAGTGCTTGCATGAGAGCGAGAGAGATCTTTGTTCCGTCGGTTGACTGATGACTGATATAACAGTTGCCATTTGCCAAGATGAGTTTTGGCCACCGGTTATGGTTATGATCCATCATGGTCTGAGTGTGAGTCTTTGACAAGTCTTTTTTGTTTGGTTTATCTGCCGAATTAGACATGTAAATTGACTACATATACTCACATATCCTCATACGATAGGAGTAGTGTGTACCAGGAAATCGAAAGAACATAAATTAATCATTGTGTATGTGTGGATACAAACCACTATAAACTTGTAGCCATGGCTCAATGGTCAGAAGATGCCAAATATTATACCAAAAATATGCTGGATTCCATCCAGAATAGTGGTAGAATGTTTCGGATTAATCCAAAAATTATGTGCTTGTTGTTGACAATAATGAAAAAATTATGTGGTGAAAATTTTGTTAAAGAAGACAGTTGTGGGTTTGATCCGAAAGGTTGGATTAAACTTCTTGAAGATTATGAAGATGCTACCATTTAATTTTAAGGGTCACATTGTCGTCATTTTATAATTGTTGCTAGAAAGAAGAGATCGACGTATTAACAGGGAAATATAGTATTTTTTTTGATGGGTGCTTTGGTCCCTCTAGGAGATGTATATGTACATAACTTAAATCTCTATTCTCTCTTCTCTTATTCATATAAAACCAAACACAATCCAATAGAAAGTAAGGGAGAGAATTTTCAAATATATTGTATACAATTGTAATAATTTTATCGTATCTCGAAGGTAAATTACTTGTCAGTCTGACTTCAAATTATTGAATAAAAAATTATAATCGTAAAAAACGTTTCAAAAACACTTCAAAGCCAAAATATTATCTTTGTTTTTAGATACTTATGAACCCACTAACAAGGGCTAGGTACATACCCACTTGCCCCTAACCAGTCAACAGTAATCTCCTTAATACCAAGTTTATTGGGTCTTGATTGCATTCATTTCAAACAATTCACAAGTTGAAATGTTGAACAATGAATAAGAAAAAAAGAAGGGATGGATCAGGTGGGCATTATTCCTTGACCAGGAATCCATATGTGCATATAGAACTATAAGCTGGCCTAACAGTTTTGACAAAGTTAGTTCTCTCTCTTTTGTTTGTTGCTGACTGCGTCAAAACTAAACAAACTAGTGGCTTTTAGTCGATGCACCACCAAAAAAACAAACAAACTTTACTCTCTCACTTATTATGTGTCCATCAAAAAACAACCATTCCCATTCGGGATCAGTTCTCGAATTGTGATGAATTTCGAATGTAATTCAAACTTGAGTTATTAATTTGATTCAACTCAAACTCGGATAGGTTTGATTTGTTAAACAAACAATACTTGAGCTTTACTCACCCTCAATACCAAGCTCGATTCTTATACGTAACAAGTCGTCGTTTGTGAATTTTGATTTTTTTTTTTGATGAACGCACAAGAAGATACATAAATATTTTGAACCGAGTGATTTATTATAGTTGCTTCAAGAAATAATGCAAAAAAAAAAAAAAAATAAATAAATCGGTGCAAATGCATTGGCTGCAGTTCGTTGAACTCAAAGCTGCCACATAATGACAGAATGGAAATTGTTGACGCCCACCCGACAAAAGTGTTTTATACAGATTTTTATGTAATGCATAGTTGCAACCATATACCGTCGGACATGGGCAAGCACAGAAATGTTGAATGTATCACGGATCATACTAGTAGTTATTAGCACTGAAAAAATTTGGGGGTTTCTAAAGTGTAAAAGAGACAGTTAGGAGGTAAGTTATAGAGTTTTTTTTACCTCTTATTTATTAAATAGTGACATCACGTAACGAAAGTAATACAGTTTCACTGCTATAATGAATATTTTCTCCACTTAATTTTTATATCCCATGTAGTGTAGTAGATGTTTTTTAGAGTCGAATCTTTGAATAACCAAAAGAGAATTAAACCAATCTTATACTTATCTCTAGTATAGATCAGAATCAATGGGCCTATTTGGAGTTGACTTTTTTAAGTGAAAAATTGTGTTTGAAAACTTTTGTAAAAAAATTAGAGTTAAAAAAGTTTCTGAAAATCCTTTGTTGTGTTTTTTAGAAAGATGAAAAAGTTAAAAAAGTCCGATTGAAGTGATTTTCTAGTTTTTTGTGTCAAAAAAAAAATAATTACAAATGTGTATAGATTATGCATAATAGTTCTTAATATATGAATTTTTAAAATTTTTTAACTTCATTAATAATATTTTATGAATATAATAAACTAAAAAATTTTATAAAACTCCAAAAAATCTGAAAAAAGAATTCAAAAAATTAGTTTTCTTGAATTAACCTAAATAAGCTTATTTGGGTTCAAAAGCTGTTGCATGAATTGATAAAAAAGTCAAGGTTTAAATAGGTCTAATTTATTTTACTCTAAAATCTTTAAAAATTACTTATTTAAACTAATTTTAAACAAACGCAGTAACTAGAAAACTCTTATCTTTTCGAGAATTTCAATTACGATCTCTTCGATCAACACAATATTAAGTTAACTTGGACAAACCTTCACAGTTCTTTCTAAGAAACATAAAAAGACTCTTTACCTAAAAAGCTCTTTCTTTGACTTTACCCTCGAATAATCTTTACTTCAAAAAAATCTTTACTCCCTTGCAACTTACCTTTTCATCTAAGTAACTGTTAATCAGATGTCCATATCATCAAAAGTATGATTAAGAAAATCTATTAGTTATAAAAAAAATTCATACTTAGTCAAAAGATTTTAATTAATTTTTGAAACTTGACTTAACTTCTGTCATATTCTTTCCATTAGAAAAACTTGGTGTGCTAAATTCGAAGAAAATAAGGGCAAATAGCAGTTTGCAACCTAAAAGATTAAAAAAATAATAATTTGCACCCTCAAAGATCAATTGTTTTAAATTGCGCCCTAAATTAAAGTAATTAGTAGCAATGTGACCCTAACCATAATGTTCGTTGTGATTTTTATCAAATTGTTAGCCACATTAGATGTACGTGATGATTTTTGTTGGATTATGACGCTTTCCCTTTTAACTTGTGTCTCACGTGTCTCTTAATCCAATAAAAATCGTCATAAACGTTATGGTTGGGATTGCAATTTTCGTCAAATTAATAACCACGTGAAATGTAGTGATGACTTTTGTTAGATTATGACTCTTCTTTTTTTCACATACATCTTACGTGACTGACAATTTAATTAAAATCGCAATGGACGTTATAATTGTGGTCACATTACTACCAATTAATTTAATTGAAGGTTACAATTTAAGACAATTGATCCTTGAGTGTGCAAATTAAAAAATCAAAATTAATCTTGAGCGCAAATTGTCATTTACTCTAAAAAATATTTTGTCAACCCTAATAGTAATTTAAGTGGTAATAGAGACGTCCTGTAAACCTAAATGTTCTAAAGTCAACTCTTGACAATCTCTTTTAGTCAAGTTACGAGAAATTTATCTCTCATTAATTTCTTAATTTCAACATGAATAATTTATTTTTGATTAAATAAAAAAAAAATCAAGATGCACATATAATAATTCAAATACCCCTCTCCGTCGACCCAAAAAATAAAAAAAAAATTCCCGCCGGGTGGTCCACAAGAATGCTGTGGCCAGTGGAGTGAGTGACCATTGAACATTGAAAAGTAGACACACATGTTCTTATGAGTAATCAACTCTGAATTAATAGTCCTTACCCATAGTCATACATTCACAGCTAAGCCAATTACCCCATTTAATTCTCTCCCTCTCTCTCCCCTTGACCTATTAAACGACGGCCGGCTTCAGCCGTCTTCAAAGTCCAAATCCAACACAGCACCATTTTAAAAGTCCCCCAAAACATACCCTCCATATTGTATTTACCCTACGACCACTTTCCCTCCTCCTCCTCCTCTTCCTCTCTCTCTCTCTCTCTCTCTCTCGCCTCTCTCTCTCTCTCTTGTTTCCATCATTTCTTCCACCGCCACCATTGTTTCTCTCCGATGAACCCAAGTCCGATACCATCGCTTTCCAAATTCTCACTCCTTTATTTTAGCTCATCACACCTTGAATCGGTCTCTTCCCAATCTATACCATTATAATTGTTTCATAATTTCTCAGTTTACTTTAAACTCAATCAACCACTATGGTTCCGGCAAATTTAATTTCACTATTTGCTGTGATCATTGGTGTGGTTTTGGTCCTACGATTCTTTTCCAAAACCAGTTTATTCCGTATTCTCAAGAAATGGTGGGGATTGCTAGAAGACAGGTTATACTTATACCAGTTTTACAAAGTTCCACAATTCAACCAACGCTTGCAGGAAAATCAACTCTATCGGAAAGTATTCACCTATTTGAATTCTTTACCTTGCGTTGAGGATTCCGATTTTACTAACCTTTTCTCAGGCAACAAATCCAATGAGATCAATCTCGTCCTCGATTCGAACCAAATCGTTGTCGACAATTTTCTCGGTGCCAGAGTCTACTGGACGAACGAGAAATGCCTGAAAACCGGTTCGAGAACACTTGTTTTGAAGATTAGAAGGAATGATAAGCGTCGAATTCTCCGTCCATACCTTCAGCACATACATACAGTGTTTGATGAGATTGAGCAGAGAAGAAAGGAGGTCAGACTGTATATAAACGCAGAGAACGAACCGGACAGAAACGGACGGTGGATATCGGTTCCCTTCACGCATCCATCGACGATCGACACCATTGTGATGGATTTAGATCTCAAAAACAAGGTTAAGTCCGATTTGGAATCGTTTCTCAAGTCAAAACAGTACTACCACAGACTCGGCCGAGTATGGAAGCGTAGCTACCTCCTCTGCGGACAGTCCGGCACCGGAAAATCTAGCTTCATCGCTGCAATGGCTAAGTTTCTCTGCTACGACGTCTACGATATCGATCTGTCCAAAGCCTCTGACGATTCGGATCTGAAGATGCTGTTACTACAAACGACAAACAAGTCAATGATCGTGATAGAAGATCTGGACCGTTATTTGAGCGAGAAATCAACGGCGGTGAGCTTGTCTGGGATTTTGAACTTCATGGATGGGATATTCTCGTGTTGTGGTGAAGAACGAGTCATGGTCTTCACAATGAACGCTAAGGATCAAATTGATCCGACGGTTCTCAGGCCTGGAAGAATTGATGTCCACATACAATTCCCTCTCTGCGATTTCTCTGCTTTTAAGAGTTTAGCGAATAGCCATTTGGGGTTGAAAGATCACAAACTTTTCCCTCAGGTTGAAGAAATTTTTCAAACCGGGGCGAGTTTGAGTCCGGCCGAGATTGGTGAGATCATGATTTCGAATCGGACATCTCCGAGTCGGGCTTTGAAATCGGTTATTACAGCACTTCAAACCAACAGTGATGCGAGGGGGGCGAGCAAGAACGGGCAGCGATTGAGCCAGAGTGGGTCGGGTCGGGTTGTGGAAGAGTCGGGTGACTCCGGAGTATTTTGTCGCGAAAATATTAATACGATGAAAGAGTTTCGGAAATTGTATGGACTTTTGAGGAGGAGTAGTAGAAAAGAGTCGCTGGACTTGGATTCCCTCGAGAAAGAAAATTCACGCCATGAAAATTAATAGAGGAAATTCTATCAAATACTAAGATTTGTGTTTTGTAAAACCATTTATTNTAGCAGTTTGCAACCTAAAAGATTAAAAAAATAATAATTTGCACCCTCAAAGATCAATTATTTTAAATTGCGCCCTAAATTAAAGTAATTAGTAGCAATGTGACCCTAATCATAATGTTCGTTGTGATTTTTATCAAATTATTAGCCACATTTGATGTACGTGATGACTTTTGTTGGATTATGACGCTTTCCCTTTTAACTTGTGTCTCATGTGTCTCTTAATCTAATAAAAATCGTCATAAACGTTATGGTTGGGATTACAATTTTCGTCAAATTAATAACCACGTGAAATGTAGTGATGACTTTTGTTAGATTATGACTCTTCTTTTTTTCACATACATCTTACGTGACTGACAATTTAATTAAAATCGCAATGGACGTTATAATTGTGGTCACATTACTACCAATTAATTTAATTGAAGGTTACAATTTAAGACAATTGATCCTTGAGTGTGCAAATTAAAAAATCAAAATTAATCTTGAGCGCAAATTGTCATTTACTCTAAAAAATATTTTGTCAACCCTAATAGTAATTTAAGTGGTAATAGAGACGTCCTGTAAACCTAAATGTTCTAAAGTCAACTCTTGACAATCTCTTTTAGTCAAGTTACGAGAAATTTATCTCTCATTAATTTCTTAATTTCAACATGAATAATTTATTTTTGATTAAATAAAAAAAAAATCAAGATGCACATATAATAATTCAAATACCCCTCTCCGTCGACCCAAAAACTAAAAAAAAAATTCCCGCCGGGTGGTCCACAAGAATGCTGTGGCCAGTGGAGTGAGTGACCATTGAACATTGAAAAGTAGACACACATGTTCTTATGAGTAATCAACTCTGAATTAATAGTCCTTACCCATAGTCATACATTCACAGCTAAGCCAATTACCCCATTTAATTCTCTCCCTCTCTCTCCCCTTGACCTATTAAACGACGGCCGGCTTCAGCCGTCTTCAAAGTCCAAATCCAACACAGCACCATTTTAAAAGTCCCCCAAAACATACCCTCCATATTGTATTTACCCTACGACCACTTTCCCTCCTCCTCCTCCTCTTCCTCTCTCTCTCTCTCTCTCTCTCGCCTCTCTCTCTCTCTCTTGTTTCCATCATTTCTTCCACCGCCACCATTGTTTCTCTCCGATGAACCCAAGTCCGATACCATCGCTTTCCAAATTCTCACTCCTTTATTTTAGCTCATCACACCTTGAATCGGTCTCTTCCCAATCTATACCATTATAATTGTTTCATAATTTCTCAGTTTACTTTAAACTCAATCAACCACTATGGTTCCGGCAAATTTAATTTCACTATTTGCTGTGATCATTGGTGTGGTTTTGGTCCTACGATTCTTTTCCAAAACCAGTTTATTCCGTATTCTCAAGAAATGGTGGGGATTGCTAGAAGACAGGTTATACTTATACCAGTTTTACAAAGTTCCACAATTCAACCAACGCTTGCAGGAAAATCAACTCTATCGGAAAGTATTCACCTATTTGAATTCTTTACCTTGCGTTGAGGATTCCGATTTTACTAACCTTTTCTCAGGCAACAAATCCAATGAGATCAATCTCGTCCTCGATTCGAACCAAATCGTTGTCGACAATTTTCTCGGTGCCAGAGTCTACTGGACGAACGAGAAATGCCTGAAAACCGGTTCGAGAACACTTGTTTTGAAGATTAGAAGGAATGATAAGCGTCGAATTCTCCGTCCATACCTTCAGCACATACATACAGTGTTTGATGAGATTGAGCAGAGAAGAAAGGAGGTCAGACTGTATATAAACGCAGAGAACGAACCGGACAGAAACGGACGGTGGATATCGGTTCCCTTCACGCATCCATCGACGATCGACACCATTGTGATGGATTTAGATCTCAAAAACAAGGTTAAGTCCGATTTGGAATCGTTTCTCAAGTCAAAACAGTACTACCACAGACTCGGCCGAGTATGGAAGCGTAGCTACCTCCTCTGCGGACAGTCCGGCACCGGAAAATCTAGCTTCATCGCTGCAATGGCTAAGTTTCTCTGCTACGACGTCTACGATATCGATCTGTCCAAAGCCTCTGACGATTCGGATCTGAAGATGCTGTTACTACAAACGACAAACAAGTCAATGATCGTGATAGAAGATCTGGACCGTTATTTGAGCGAGAAATCAACGGCGGTGAGCTTGTCTGGGATTTTGAACTTCATGGATGGGATATTCTCGTGTTGTGGTGAAGAACGAGTCATGGTCTTCACAATGAACGCTAAGGATCAAATTGATCCGACGGTTCTCAGGCCTGGAAGAATTGATGTCCACATACAATTCCCTCTCTGCGATTTCTCTGCTTTTAAGAGTTTAGCGAATAGCCATTTGGGGTTGAAAGATCACAAACTTTTCCCTCAGGTTGAAGAAATTTTTCAAACCGGGGCGAGTTTGAGTCCGGCCGAGATTGGTGAGATCATGATTTCGAATCGGACATCTCCGAGTCGGGCTTTGAAATCGGTTATTACAGCACTTCAAACCAACAGTGATGCGAGGGGGGCGAGCAAGAACGGGCAGCGATTGAGCCAGAGTGGGTCGGGTCGGGTTGTGGAAGAGTCGGGTGACTCCGGAGTATTTTGTCGCGAAAATATTAATACGATGAAAGAGTTTCGGAAATTGTATGGACTTTTGAGGAGGAGTAGTAGAAAAGAGTCGCTGGACTTGGATTCCCTCGAGAAAGAAAATTCACGCCATGAAAATTAATAGAGGAAATTCTATCAAATACTAAGATTTGTGTTTTGTAAAACCATTTATTATAAATTTGTAAAATTTTAAGTCATTTAGGACAATGTTTCTTTGATGTTTTTTTTATTTATTATTCGATGTGGTTCTTGGTGTAACATCAAAATGTGATGTTCTTTCTTTATAGGAAATGATTGTATCGTACACACTTTTCTTTTCTAATTTAGGCGTAATTGTTCCTTGTGAAGTAATGATTTTTCTTTTTCCTTAGAGTAATGTTTGGCTAAGCTTTTATGAATATGGTCTTTTATTTAACGTGGTGGTCCCCGCGTCACCAACCAACTTAGTCTCAATGTCACCATCTGGATGTGTTGCATAAGTAGAAGCAAAAAATAAAATTAAATGATTAGCGGAACAACTCAATTACTAATTAATGTAACCGATTTAGGAGGTTTATACAATAGAAAATAGGACTCACTCTTTTCTACTAGGCACGAGATTGAACCATAATCCTGGGATAATTGAGAGATTCTGATTTTATTTATATGCTCTCTAGAAAAATTGTGATAGACCAAAAAGAAAGAGAAAAAAAAAAAAACTATGGTTTTAGCAATTTCACTTGGAGGAGAAGTGCCATTTTGCACATTGCATACCTTTTGCATGTTTAGTTATGTGGAAAGAATCATTGGTGATGCAAAAAAAAAAAAGTTTGGAGAGAGAGAGAGAAAAATTTGTAGGATTGGAACATTTGCTCAATTGGCCCACTACCCACTTTTGTCGTGGGGAATCCTGGTCCACAAGGTCACCTCTAAGATCAGCATATACAAGTTCAAAGTGGGTAAGTTTTCACAAGTATTGCTGTGATAAGGTAAGATCACAACTCGATGCAATGCCCTTTACAAAAGGTCATTGACTTAGTTGTTTGAAAAAAATTAAAGAAGAGAAGGTATGGACACGATTTTCTTTTCGATACTTAAACTTTTTGAATGGCCTCCCATCATGGTGTTGAAAACTCGAAGCACTTGTGCTTCGTTTTCTTTATTCTATTGATGCTTTTCTTTTTTTCTTTTCTATTTAACGTGGGTTTTGACTCGATAGTAAAGTTGTTTTATATTATTATGGACNTGTGCTTCGTTTTCTTTATTCTATTGATGCTTTTCTTTTTTTCTTTTCTATTTAACGTGGGTTTTGACTCGATAGTAAAGTTGTTTTATATTGTCAAAATTTGAATAACATCAATAATCTCTTTACATGCATATATAAAATTATATATACTTGTTGATTTGCATATTTTAAAATGACAATCAAATCACATACACCATGTTATTTTTTCTTTTTATATGTTCTAGCACATACTGCAAGGGTCCGAATGTGTTCATTACAGTGATTCTCCATAACATTCACTTGTACCTCCAAAGACACGGTCGAAGCACGCCTGCCCAGTGTGCTTCTTTCATGACATGCTTTGAACTCGGGTATCTTTCCAATGGTCTTCTAGCCTCAGAAGAAGTCGTGGAAGCGGGCCGAATGGCAAGCCTCCCCTCTCTTTTGGGCGAATTGCGGGGCAGGACCTTCTTGGATTTGTACGATAGTCAGCTATGTTAGCCCAACCTTAATCTATTGGATTTGTACTAATTCAAAGTTTGACTCAGCTGACAAGTGGGTATGAAACCCAAAGCCTTNATTGCGGGGCAGGACCTTCTTGGATTTGTACGATAGTCAGCTATGTTAGCCCAACCTAAATCTATTGGATTTGTACTAATTCAAAGTTTGACTCAGCTGACAAGTGGGTATGAAACCCAAAGCCTAAAACTTAAAAATGGGCCAGGCCCATATTCGTATTTTCAACATAAACCCATAATGTGGGCCTTCAAATTTGGAACTTTGCATGGGCCTTTTTTTTTGGATGTTTTAGGATGGTGGTGTAGCCTTGTGGGCCTAGATTATGTTAAACCACGCGCCATTAGTGAGAGTAGTGTTTGATCCTTTCAGGTATTCCTGGTTAAAGAAAGAGTTTACTGTGGGTTTGNTGCATGGGCCTTTTTTTTTTTTTTTGGATGTTTTAGGATGGTGGTGTAGCCTTGTGGGCCTAGATTATGATAAACCACGCGCCATTAGTGAGAGTAGTGTTTGATCCTTTCAGGTATTCCTGGTTAAAGAAAGAGTTTACTGTGGGTTTGGATTTGGTTTCGTCTCCGGTCTCACTAGCTTTCTTCCCGATCGCTTCATACAATTCACTCAGATCGGTGTTTCCGATCTTCGTGACTGATCCCTCTGTTCTTCTCTCTCGTAAGTACTCGCTCACTCTCTGAGTAGAAATCTCTGTTTTCAAGGAGCAAAATAGAAAATTAAATTTAGGGTTTTGAACAAGAATGGCTTACTCTATTGTTTCTTTCTTTCTTTGTTTTGTTGGGTCTTGGCCACGATGAGACATAGATAACATACATTTTTAGCTGATGAATTGGATGGGTTGTGATGTTTCTGTTGTAAATGCCTTGGCTTTGAGCTCTCCGTCTTTGATATTGGATTTTGCAGGTATCTTAAAATAGTGGTTCTGAATTGGAATCTGATTGTAAACAGTATGGTAAGCTTTTGAATTTGGTTCCGTACCACCTTGTGAAATGTGTGCTTTGATTTCTTTCGGGGTTGTTCTTTTTCCAGAATTATATTATTGGAGCTTTCAAGCCAGCATGTAACGTGTCAATTACGTTTTCTGATGGGAAAAGTCGCAAGCAGGTATTCATTGTTGTTTATAGCGTTCTGTTATTCTGCTCTAGAAGTACTCGTAACACAGGCATATAAATTTCCAAAACATAGTTTATGAAAATTAGTGTGGTGTGGCAAGTGGGATTTTTACTGGAGGGTAATTATTAGTGAATCAGCTCTTTGAATCTCATTTTGGTGCTTTTTCTTTCACGGTGAGTTCTGTTGCCAATATCTCATGCTCATGAGTGATGAGCCTTTTGAATAATAAATATTTTGTGGGGGTAGCGATTATGCATAATACCAACTGTCCCTTTTTGACCTGTGAGATGCTATAGTAATTGTCAGTGTTTGTAATTGTGACGCTTTTGATGGCTTCAGGCTTCTCTGTTTTGTTTGGTAGTTACTTTTTCGACAATCTTCTACATTTGATTTTCCCTCCAGCATCCTTTATGATTTCATTGTAGTACTACGGGTTATGCTTTCATGATTATAATTCTTTGCATGCCTATTTCTTTATAGGTTCCGCTGAAGAAGGAAAATGGTCAAACATTAATGGTCCCACTTTTCAAAAGTCAGGAAAACATATCTGGCAAGGTATATTACACTATATTGTAGTAATGATTGTCGAATACAGTTAGGCATTCGTTGAATTCAGAATCAGTTCTGAATAAATTTGTTTTACAATCTTATTTCTCAATGGAATTTTCCCTGACGTTATATTCAGATTTCTATCGAGCCAGTTCAAGGAAAAAAGGTTCAACACAATGGGATAAAAGTTGAGCTCCTTGGTCAGATAGGTGAGATTTTGCTTGGAGTTTTCATTTTGACATTTGGCGTCTAGATAAGGGTCAATTTGGGATGTAGTACAGATACAACATTTTCTCATTACGTGGTACGATACAGGTAAACTTAACTGGTATAATGTATTGGGTCGCAACTAGTTTTAAAACTCTTCTCTAAATCGCTTTCACTAGTGTCCTTAAAACCTACTTTACGTTTATAGATATTTATTTTATAATTGTGATAAAAAAAAGTTCCAAAGTGAATCAGGTTGGGGTTGGAAATTTAGGTGAACTGAATTGGAAGCCCTACCCATTTGGGGGTGAGTGATTTCTGGTAAATATGTTAGAAGGAGGCAAGATAGAGGGAATTTGACTTCATTTTGAAGTGTTGTGGCCTAACACTTCCTTTTGAATGGGTGTGATGTCCCACAAGAGATGTTCCAATTGAGAGAGTACTCTAGTTTTCATGCAAATAGCATTTGCTTCTTTTTCCCTTTGCAATCTGGTCTTTTGGCCCAAAAGGCCAAAACATATGCTTACATGTCCAATATCGTCTGCGTACTCTCATATGCTTGAAGTTGGCTTCTTTTTCTTTTGCCACATTGGTCTTTTGTTGTCAAAAGATAGTGTATGTCTGATCTCGTAATGTATTCATCCTGTCATCAGGTTAGGTTTGTAGTTAGTATAGTCTGACCTCATACAGTCTGCTTTTTGGGAGGTAGATTGCTTGATTTTGATTCTGATTTTAGAGAAGCACTGATTTAATACAGTTGTGGGCTTTCATTACACAACTTAAACTTGACAGTTTTTTGATAAGTAGTGGAAGTCTGGAAGACAACATCATGTCGACATCTTCCTTAACTTATGCGGAAGGATGTGTAAAACTAGTTGCCCATTCATAGCATGTTCTTACACCACTAAAGGTACATGAATTGTGCTGCACTGGTCGTAAATGAGTAATTGGTAGCACTTAAAGAATATAGTAGCATATTTGATAATCGGCAATTGGCCAAGAGTGTACTTCTTGTAGCAGCCTCTTCTTTTCCTTTTTTATTTGCAATCGTTGCAGAGCATTTCCTGGGACTCTTTATCTTTTTCTCTTTACAGAAATGTACTTCGACAGAGGCAATTTCTATGACTTCACCTCCCTTGGTGAGTATAATTTTAATTTGATTTCATAACCTTCTAGCTGTTTATTTGAAGTTTATCTAGTTTTCCATAATTGTGTGGTATGTTAAACTTGCTTTGTAAATTTATCCGTTGTTATTTGTGTCACCATATTTACCATTGTGTGGTAGCCTTTTTTTCACTCGTTGGTAGAAAGAGGATCTATAACAAAGAAATTTGTGCTCTCTCTAATTTTTTTTATCCTTTCGTTTTTCTTGTTAACAGTTCGTGAATTAGATGTTCCTGGTGAAATATATGAAAGGAAAGCATATCCTTTTGAGTTTTCGACGGTTGAAATGCCATATGAGACATACAATGGGGTGAATGTACGACTTCGGTAAGTTACTTGTCGTGTATTGAACTTTGCAATGGAATTTCTTTTGTTTGTCATTTCTTGGATTTTTTTGGATCATTTAGAAAAGTCTACTAGAATTTTTGTTATTGTCCATCATGATTTATTTTGGTTTTTTAAGAGAAAGAGGGTTTCCGACAATGCATTTTGACTCCCAAAGTTTTATCTCAACTATTTGGGATCGTACTTGAACAAGTCAAAGACTATATGCTTGTCTGCTGTGAAAAATACATCTAGATCAAAATACTAATAATAAGATGACTAATTTATATTCTTGCAACTTATTTTGCTTCCTTTTTTGTTTAATTGTCTATGTTGTCATGTGCATGTATATTTTTTGAGTCTAACATTTGTATGTTGTTACCTAACTGAACATGGTATTTTGTTGTTAAATTGAGTATTCAGGATAGAGTTTACCTGAATTGTGCTTGTTTTAGGTATGTCCTTAAAGTGACTATTAATCGTGGCTATGCTGGAAGTATTGTGGAGTACCAGGACTTTGTGGTAACTTTCAATCCCCCTCCCCCCCTCCTCCTTCCTTCTCTTCACACACATGTGCACTCATACACCGATTATTTATCCTGGGAGTACTTGTTTTGGACTTGTATAGTTGGTCATTCATACTCTGCATTATTTTCGTTAAATGATGTTTAGTTTAACGATAGTAGAAAAAGGGAGGGCAGTGCACAAGGCTGGGGTGTTGGGAGGATTAGATTTACACAGCCTTACCTCCATGTAGAGAGTTTTTTTGCGACTTGAACCTTTGATGTCTAGGTCGTTATAGAGCAACATTACCACTAACCAAGGCGTCTATTACTGGAGAAGTAATAGGACCATGTAATTATTGTTTTTGGGTCAATATGAATTTTTTGTTAGTTACTTGAATCAATTTCCTTCCTGTTATGTTGTACCCATTCGCAATTTGAATTGGTTTTGCTATTTACGAACTCTATTTAAGTACTTAGCATTCTTATCCATTTTTTTTTAATTTTGTGAAACAGGTTCGGAACTATAGTCCACCTCCATCAATCAACAATAGTATTAAGGTTAGTGCATGCGTCCTGCAAAATCTGGTTCTAGGGATGTTATCACAATGTCTAATATTTATGCCTTGCAGATGGAAGTTGGAATTGAAGATTGCCTCCACATTGAGTTCGAGTACAATAAGAGCAAGTAAGACGGAGCACAATACCTGATTAGGAATTGCTTTTAATCAATTTTTGTTTAGATGCCAACTAAATCTTTTCGGAATGTGTCAAACTGAACACTTGGAAAAAAAAACTGGTGGTTAACTGTTCAGTTCAACTGGGTTGTGCTGTGCTGGTTAAACTCAGGTCGCTCTCCAACACTTCTTTAAATAAAGCCTCATTAAGATTAAAAGTATATTACTGCTTAAACAAATGCTTCAGGTATGAGTTTGCAAAAGTTGGTTGTCTGACTCTGGGTCTGACTGAATAACCATTACAATATTCAATGCTACATATGTTTATATTCTTTTGGTTATAGGGACAAATCTGTGCCCTTGCTGATTGGAGTTCTAAATATCCAGGTATCATCTGAAAGACGTTATTATAGGCAAGATATATTTTCTTCTTGTAAGAATCAAGATTAAAAATATGGATCTTGAGATCAGGCGGAGAGAATCAACGGGATCAGGGGCCAACACCCATGTTGAGACAGAGACTCTTGCAAAGTTCGAGTTGATGGATGGAGCTCCAGTCAGAGGTATAGTCAGAATTATCATCTTAAGTTTTTTAAACTATTTCCCTGTTTCTTGTAGCTTTTTTTCCCCGTCAGCTTCTCCTCTTCCTTTATCCCAGCTTTACTTGTTATCATTAGTTTTGCATGGTTCCTTCAGCCAAAAGCGTTTTGAAACTCAGATTGATCATCAGTATATTACAATAGAGCTAAATGCATGATTTAATTTAGTTTGGAACCATTTGAACCTGAAAGATTCTTAAGAACGTTTTATGCTTTGTTTTGGGGTTATTTTTATTTTTCAAGACTTCAGAGAACAGGAAAAAAAAATAATCAAAGACGGTGGGAAAACTGGCCTTAGATGTTCACATCTGACTGATCAACAAGATCATAACGTTTGATGGAGAAATGTTGAATGTTCTGTGCTTGCTATCACAGGTGAATCGATTCCGATCAGACTGTTCCTGAGCCCTTATGAACTGACACCAACACATCGCAACATCAACAACAAATTTAGTGTGAAGTATTATTTAAACCTTGTTCTTGTCGATGAAGAGGACCGGCGGTACTTTAAGCAACAGGAAATCACAATGTACCGTCTTGCAGAGACTTCTTGAGTCATCATATGTGATGTTGGTGCTGTGTCTTATAGAAGATTTGCTGCCTCGAATTACACCAGACTCAGAATTCTGTTTCTTGAAAAAGGCTGCCATGACTTTGTATTCATCATGGTTTTCCACCTTTGACGCACCATATATGGGCTCTGCAGGTTGAGATCCTGGGCTATTGTTTCGATTTTCTTTATGAACAGTTTGGCTGTTGTCTGATCTGGGATTGACAGAAATAGCAATAAGCATTGCCTTGTTACAGACAATCACACTTGGGGGGGTTGTACCAGGGTTTTTGATATATTGCTGTTTCTTATGAGGTAGTAGTGTACCGGCTTTGGATTGTTGCCATTCTTCCCCGTGTAGGCTTAGAAATGAATGGGAATTTGAACTATAATTTGATTTTTGATGGTATCATCTTTTTCCCCATGATGATCCTACTTTATCTCATTGCATCATCAGACCTGGAGCATTTATATCATATGTGGGGCAACCAAATACATTCTAATACATCCTTGTGTGTCATAACGCTTGGGAAACAGTTCACTTTCTGTTCCAGGTTCTATCAGCAGGAGCTTTTGTGCTATTTCTCTGGGAAAGAATAAACTTTTTGGAAAAATTTTGAGACATCTGGTTTTACTGTGTATTTATTAGTTTATTCATTTCCGTTGCATTCGGTTGAATCAGGCCTGTCATTTTCATTTTCATTACTGTGACTGTGAGTGGTGACAATTAGGCTTCTCAATTGTGTCGGTGAAGCCTGTTTGTATCTAGTTTTAACAAATTCATATTAAAAGATATTTTATTTATATTCAATTTGTTTATTGAATAATGTTTAGCGAATTGTATTATATCGAGATTGTGTTATGTATGAATTGTATATAATTAATATATACATGAGTTGTGTCATGTATTTTTTTTAATTAGTTTTATATATATCTAATTTATTTATTAATTGTGTTATGTCGGGTTGACTCGTTTTATAAACGAGTGACTTAAAAAATACTAAAATCCTCTAATTTCGTATTGNAGCCTGTTTGTATCTAGTTTTAACAAATTCATATTAAAAGATATTTTATTTATATTCGATTTGTTTATTAAATAATGTTTAGCGAATTGTATTATATCGAGTTTGTATTATGTATGAATTGTATATAATTAATATATACATGAGTTGTGTTATGTATTTTTTTTAATTAGTTTTACCTATATCTAATTTATTTATTAATTGTGTTATGTCGGGTTGACTCGTTTTATAAACGGGTGACTTAAAAAATACTAAAATCCTCTAATTTCGTATTGTATCTTGTTAACGAGTCGTGTTATATTTTGACACTTTTAGTGACAACCAAAAATTATTAATTTTTATTAACTACTTAATAGCTATTAATGTCACATCATTTAATATCTAAAATTTAATATAAAAAATTAGTAAATACAACTTTATGCAACTATATATAAGTTGAGTGTGGGTGAACTTCATAGAGGAATGCTACATTTTATCCAAATTTTAATTAAATTTCTTATGCCAAATTAATCTGAGTAGTTTAGATTAGTGTATTTCATTTTCATTAATTTCTTCACCGACAGAAATCGAGCTAATCACGTCTCGTCACATGAATCTCACAACCAACGGACGGCTGCGACGGGATACTCTCTAAATAGGAAACCACGTTCCTCTTGATTATAGCCTTCTATAATTGTCTCTAGCTTTTGGGTACGTAAGAATATTACTGTGGAGCGGGACGTAACAACAGCTGTTGCTTATTTTCCACTCTCTCTCTCTCTCAGGCTTGGATTTGGAGGAACAAAAGGGAGATCGTCATCGGTTGGGCTCCGGAAGCAAACAACACAAATGGAATTGTTCTATTACATGGTGTTCGGGGCTCTTGCGGCAGTAGTGGCGGCGATAGAGCTAAGCAAATCCAACAAGGATCGCATCAACACTTCTCCTGCTTTCAATTCCTTCAAGAATAATTACATTCTTGTATACTCTCTCATGATGGGTATGCAAATCAGCAGATCTGGCCCTTTTCCTCATTCTTTATAGATATACACGTAGTGTATGTATATGTAAATAGGTTTTAACTATCCGCTGTTTCTGTCTCTGTCTATGGCTGCTAATCCGATCCGATCAATGTGATTTCTCTGGAAACCTGCTTGATATGCTTAGTTTGAGAGACCATTTCGATAATGCGTTGTGGGTTTTTGGGGAGACATGGGATCTGGATCTCAGTTCTTGTGAGTGTAGTATTGTACTCGGATTTGATTTTATTGTGGGGTCACTGATTGTTACTGATATGAGGAACATGGTGCGTGATTGACAGTAGGGCTTTGATCCCATGGGTTCTGTGTATTAGCTAGGTGTTTTCTTCACAAGCAATTCTAATTTTAGTTCTGTAACTTTGTATGCTTTTGTAATTCACAATAATGGTACTAGTGGTTTGCAACTGGAAAAGATAAATGCTGAATCCAAAATCCAATTTTCTTTTTCATCGGTTTTCTGGCGAGCAAACTGTAGGAAGCATAATTTATTAAACATAATCTAGGAGAATGAATTAGATTTAGAAGCCACACAGAGAATCATAACGGTATTCGTTGCATATTATTTAGACTTTTCTTCTTGTAACTGTTGACGAAAGCTTCTGACTTTAGTTATTAATTGGTGGATGACTTGGTGTTTATTTTTCTAACGGATTAATTTTTATGTGGCAACAGCCGGTGACTGGTTGCAGGGTCCATATGTCTATTACCTTTACATGACATATGGCTATGGGAAAGGGGAAATTGGGCAGCTCTTTATTGCAGGATTTGGATCTTCAATGTTGTTTGGCACCATTGTTGGATCTCTAGCTGACAAACAGTGAGATTTTCTTTTCTGAATTAGGTACCCATGTTGTTTTGTGATGAAATAGCTTATTCACATGTTTTTCTGATGGTTCATAACTTAAATTCAGGGGTCGGAAGCGAGCATGCGTGACTTATTGTATTACTTACATATTAAGCTGTATTACCAAGCATTCTCCTCAGTACAAAGTTTTGATGTTGGGCCGTATTTTGGGTGGTATTGCCACTTCTCTCCTATGTTCAGCTTTTGAATCATGGCTTGTGGCTGAACACAACAAGGTAAGAGGCTCTTAGTTGTATTAGTGACTGGTGACAGAGGAATCCATACTGAATTGATTACAGTTCATACTTGAATTTCGATGAATGGTATTGTTGATCCTGATGCGTAACTGTGGTATTTTGTGTGAGCATGATTGCATCTGAGAATTGGATTCCCTAGGTGTGAACATAATCTGTAGTTTTTTTGCACAATGGGGGAACTTTCTTTCTAAAAGCCAATTTCTTGTTGGAGCCTTTTCTAAAACTTTGCTGATGGATGGTATTGGTAAGCAATTGTTTCATCATCATAATGCTTCCGGTGTTTTGCTTAAATTTCTTGTATCTTGCAAACTCTTTAGATTAATCTTGTTGTCCTGATGTCTGCTGATACATTGGGCTCTCTTTCTTGTAACGAGATGATAGTAGTCACATAAATTCTTCCAAGAAATAAGAAAAGAAAAAAACTTAGTGAAACTGGATCTATATCCATAATTTTGACTCTAATAATTTTTAATTGCACCCTAGTTGCCAGAAACAGTGGCTACAGAACTGGAATTGTTCGATCGTTCCTTCCATTCTCCTTGTTTATTTTGCTCCTAGTTTAGATAGGATGCTCAAAAGATTGTGTCTAGGGATCCCCAGTTGTCATCAAACTTTCCCCTTTCGTCATATTTGTCATTTTGTTTTTCTTGTTCTTTTCTGCTGCCTTCCATTGATACTTTCTGACTTGGCGATGAAGGGCTTGAACCGTCAAGCTGTGGCTCTTCTTACTTTGTCATCTGTTTTTGGTTATGTGTAAGTGTAAGCCAACTCTGGGCAACACTAGTTTGTAGTTTGTCCATCGAAGCTACCTCATTTTCATAGTCATTGACCCTGTTTTCCACTTATTTCTGCAGAGGGGATTTGATCATCAATGGCTCTCAATAACTTTCTCAAAGGCAATATTTCTCGGCAATGGTCTCGTTGCTATTGTGTCCGGGTTGTTCGGAAATCTGCTAGTTGATACCATGAGTCTTGGCCCTGTGTCCCCCTTTGACGCCGCTGCTTGCTTTCTTGCTATTGGCATGGCCGTTATACTATCATCATGGGGTGAGAACTATGGTGACCCTTCAGAGGGCAAGGGCTTGCTTACCCAGTTCAAGGGTGCTGCTGTGGCCATTGCTTCAGGTAGAGTAGAGACCTATTTAAGATCTTAAATACTTTCACAGCCCATAAAACACTCCTGGAGTAGCCCTTGGGTACTGCATACTGGATAAAAGCAGTGATTAAGGACTTATCATTCAATGATTCTTCCCAGCTATTGGCTTCGGTTTTAATTTTGAAAGACAGAAATAAAACAGGCTACCTATATCTTATATCACCACTCCAGGATGCGATGCTCTCCTTGGGTTTTCACTGGTGTTCTTTTTAAATGGTGGTTAGATTTTTTCGCACCTAAATGGTTTTTGGCTGCGTTCTCATTGTCTATCTATATATTTTGCCTAGTGTCCATTTTTTTATTCCTGTTCGTATTCCTTGTTGACCCTTATTAGTATGGTTTATGTGGATCAGATGAGAAGATTGCCTTGTTGGGTGCAATACAATCCCTCTTTGAAGGGTCAATGTACACCTTTGTGTTCCTCTGGACACCTGCTTTGAGCCCGAATGAGGAGGAAATTCCCCACGGTTTTATATTTGCAACTTTTATGTTGGCTTCAATGCTGGGAAGCTCTATCGCGTCTCGCTTGATGGCCCGCACATCATTAAGAGTTGAGAGCTACATGCAGATTGTTTTTGTGGTTTCTGCTGCCTCTCTTCTGCTTCCTATTGTGACAACTGTATGTACTGGGTTGCATGTCTCCATTTTTTCCTTCTCTTAAATACTCTGGTTATGGCCATCTCTAATTTGCTTATTTGGAACAGTTTTTGGTAGCTCCTTCTAAGGTGAAAGGTGGAAGCATCTCATTTGCAGGTTGTATCCAGCTTATTGGCTTCTGTACCTTTGAGGCTTGTGTGGGTATATTCTGGCCTTCTATTATGAAGATGAGGTCTCAATACATTCCTGAGGAGGCTAGGAGCACCATTATGAACTTTTTCCGCATTCCTCTCAACATCTTTGTTTGCGTTGTGCTTTACAATGTATGTCTTTGGACTTTCTATCCTTTGTTGCTTCCACCTTAGCGCTGCACTCTGCTCATAGAAATAGTATTGTGCTGTATATTTTGCATTCTTTGGCTGGAACATAGTTACTGTGGCAAAAAAAAATAAAAATTTGGCCTGTATAAGAGAATACTGACCCTCCTCTTTCTCTAACTGGTACTCTTAACCTTGATACTGACACTCTCCCTCACCCACCCATGCACACAATGCCTTATTTTGCCATTACTTTTTATCATGCACCATCAGGTCCTTTTTTCTGTTTCTAATTTTCTGTATGTATATGAAGGTTAAAGCGTTCCCTATCACTGTAATGTTCGGGATGTGCTCAATTTTCCTCTTTGTTGCATCTATCTTGCAGAGGCGGCTATTGGTGATAGCAGAGAAGTCAAGTGAGTAGTTCTGTACTAGAACTCCTGAGTTTTGAAATCATGATGCATTATTGTACTACTTTTGTTCCAGGTTTATGTAGTACCAATTTTGTAGCAGAAATAAAAATGACTCGCAATTATTGCGTATTAGTCCATTGATGAAGCTTTTCTAGGTGCTTACTGTTGCAACTTGTGTTTTCACTACAGAGACAGAAGATTGGACAGCATTAAAGGAAAAGGACGCCGAGGTTGAGCCATTGAACGATGCTTGATTCCTAAAATTGAAAAACACCGCCCAATTCATTACACAAACTGTCACAGGGTTTGGTTTACTTGATGCTACGTTTTATTTAAATGGTGATGGTCTCATTTTATTTAAACTACAATTAGTCGGCTTCCAGCAAAGAAAGGAAAGGAGAGGTCCGCGACCGTGCCTTAAAGCGAACAGAGTCACATTGCCCTCAGTTTGGCGTCTGTATCTCTTACTGTTGGGATATTCTATATTTTGTTGTGTATAATTTAAATTATTTGTTGTTCTAATATAGTTCTCATGTTTAAGCCTCCATTAAGATCCCAGTTTTGCTCGTGACAGTTTGAAACGGTGTAAATGATTCTTTATAACACCATGTTGTTCATTAATTTTTACCTGATATTAGTTTGAAATGTACCTGGTTGCTACTCTTGGCTTGTGTGCAATTGGTAAATATTTACGAAGTATGATAAGTTTTTAAAATTTATCATGAATTCTTTAACATATACGAATCGTAAATTCAGATGTCTTGAATTTGATAATTTATTGGAACTAGACCATAAATAATTTATTACTCTTAGAGTGGATGAATTATTTTTTACCAAAGATACTGACTATTGAACTAAAAAAAAAACGTATTTTTGGGGGCATTACCCCTACCTTGTTTATTGCGTCGCACATAATTGCTTTATAATAAAGGAAACTTTGTATATTGGATGTGACCTCTCTAAATAATATTTTTCAAGTTGATTTTGTTACAAAGTAGATAGATGAATTTCAAAAGAAAATAACAACAACAATATCAGGCTTCAACCTGAATTAATTTATAATACTTTCAAATAATAAAAAAACATGAGGGCCAAGTATAATGACTTATTTTTTGTAAGAAGTTATAATTAATTTTTATTTCTATACAGAGCAATGTTACATAAATTTAAAAACTAGACTTGATAATTACAACTATTGATTTTACTGTGGATCTCAGCATTTATTAAGATTGACTACCTATTCAATGATTATGATTATTAAGTCTAATTTTTAAGTCTATTTAACATTACTCTTTGNGATCTCAGCATTTATTAAGATTGACTACCTATTCAATGATTATGATTATTAAGTCTATTTAACATTACTCTTTTTGCACGTTATGTATATCAATTTTTCACTTTTTATGTTCAATGAGTTTTTAAGTATTACATATGATTTTAATAAATATGAGTTTATACATTTTTGCAGTCAATTGCGGAAAAAATTATAACTTGATAATGTGCCCTACCATATAATAATTTATTGATTTCGTCCCTGATTAGAGTTAACATATGTTTTAGGGTATAGGTTTATTATGAAAAGGTGACAAAAATCTTAGAGCTTTAGTTGGTTTTTGAATTTTATTTTTTTATTTTAATTTAATCTTTAAATTTTTAATTATTATGGTTTAGACTCGCAATTAGGGGTGTTCACTCTATCCTATGGGTAGAAAATATGATTTTCTGTCTTCTTACTCGATACTTTGCGGAAGAATTTTTTCTTGGTCTACCCTACTCGATTAAATGTGATATTCCTACTCGACTTCCAGTTAAATTTATTGAGTAGGAAATCGAGTTAACATTTTTCTAATTATTAATTTTTGGATCATTTTAACAATTCAATTAAATAACATGTACTAATTTAACAACATAATAAACCAATAATACTAAAATCTAAAACAATTACAATTACAACAACAATTACAATAAAACACAAGAAAACATAAACATCAATCCATCGTAATTGTTGCACAAATACAATAACAACTATTTTAAGTCTAAATCATATGATTAGAGAATTAGGGTTTTTAGTCTATATATATATATATATGTATAAATTAATGCGGGTAGTGTAGGATAGGAATACGAAAATTAATGGCTATTCCGTATTCTTACCCAGNTCTATATATATATATATATATATATATATATGTATAAATTAATGCGGGTAGTGTAGGATAGGAATACGAAAATTAATGGTTATTCCGTATTCTTACCCAATTTAAGTAGAATATCAAAAATTCTTCCACATTCTTACCTGATTTTTTCGGATAGTCGTTCAATAGGGGCAAGTAAGGTATGAAATTGTGGCTAATCGAAAATTTGAACACCCTAAGAGCATCTCCAACTACACTATGTAAAATAACTATTCAAAATATATTTAAATATTATATTATCTATTTTAGCTAATCACTTTTTCAAATTCACTTCAATCACACTANACCCACCCCCAACCCCCACCTTCGACTCCAGCGATGGTATCGAGAGAGAGAGAGGACAGCGATGGCTTCGGCTTCAGATAGTGTGAAAGAGACGGGCCTTTTATACCTAAGCAAAAAAAAGAATGATTTTTGTTGCTATGGAGGATCGAAACCCAAACCTCATTAATTCTTTGCGCGTGTTTTGTTNTATCTATTTTAGCTATCTATTTCAACTAATTTTAACTAATTTTCAATAATAAAATTTTAAAAATAATAATTCAATTATATATTATATAAATTTAATCAATTATGGGNTATCTATTTTAGCTATCTATTTCAACTAATTTTAACTAATTTTCAATAATAAAATTTAAAAAATAATAATTCAATTATATATTATATAAATTTAATCAATTATGGANTGGATGTTTTCATATTTTAGCCTTGTTTTAAAAACGGAGGTGTTAAAAAAAAACATTCACCAAACGTGTTTTTATTTTTCTTTTTGGTCATAAAATAAAAACAAAAACAAGAAAAAAACGANGATTATAAGGGTAAATATCATAAAAGATGTGCAAGAATAAATATCATAAAAGAATATTAGCCATTATCACCATCGAAGAGCAGGAAGAGCAGAGGTCAGACGGTGCTTGGGGCAGATTGGAGCCATTCGAACGCCATGGAAGGAAGAATTGAAGGTCGATGAGAAGGTTGATTTGGGAGAGAAGGTAACAGTCGATGTGGGATTGAGATGGGTGGGTTGCATCTGCTTCTAATTTCACAAATTCAATCGGTGGGGGGTTTTGGTGGGGTTTCAGTGGGATTTTTTGTGGGTTTTTTGGTGGGATTTTTGGGTTTTCCAATGAATTTTTGGTGGGTTTTTCAGTGGGAGCTAAGACAGAGAAAACTAGAGAGAGCTCCTTTGAGACAAAGAAAACCAATGGGACCTGAGACAGAAAACCAGTGAAAGTAAAATCACAATAGCGAGCTCCTTTGCCTCGCCAAGAATAGTCAGCCAAATGAAGGTCCTGGAAAATAGTTAGCGTCATAACTAGTCTGTTGGAAACCAGATTTAAGGACCGTCTCTGTAAAATAGTTAAAAACGGCATTTTATTGAGGTCCTTGGAGATGTTCTTACTCACAATTATCAATTTTATTTTAATTAATATTTTTTTATTAATTTTTATCATTAGATTTACTTGAGACTAACCTAATTTAATTCATTTTAGCATTAATCTAATAGTGGAAATAAACTAAAGAATTTAATTGAGATAAAATTAATAACTTAGAGACTAAATTGAGATAATTTAAAATTCAGGAATCAAATTAAAATTAAAGGCAAATTTTATTTGTTCCCCTTCTGTCCGTTAACCTCTCTCTCGCCCCATATTAACTCCTTTCGACTCCTCACATGCTCCAATTCCCATCTATGTCTTCCAAAAGTCAAATTTCCATCGACCATTGCCACCGTCAATCCAAAAATCCCAACTAACTGCCCTTAACAAACCCACTAAACCTCTCCTACCTGTTACTCCCATGGCATCCAATCCACTCACTAAACACATTCCCTCTTGCATAAGCAATGTCATCCAAGAACACCACTACCACACTCACCCACCAAATCAACACCATCACAAATCGATAAGCAAAGCCAAGAGAGAAGGAGGGTTGGGATGTTCATGTTTGTATGGGTTGGCTTTGTGCATGAGCGTGAGAGGAACACGATGGGCGATGGTGGGTTACAGATGAGTGGACATAGGGTGAGTTGTTAAGGGAAAGAGAGAAATATTTGTAGAGGATGGTGGCAGCCGTAGTTGTGGGTTAGAGAGAGAGGTTGAAGAAGAATCTGGGGAGATATAACATGGGTTTGGATTTGGGTCGGGTAAGTTTGGGTATGATACTTGTGTTTATGTCAAATTGGCTTTGTCTGGTTTTTGTTAAAGGCTTCTGATAGGGGTAACAATGTTTTGTTTCATACTGAATAACAATAGGGATTAGGGATACATAAGAAAACAAAAAGAACAAGAAGGGACAAAAAGAACAAGAGGGGATTAGGGATACATAAGAAAACAAAAAGAACAAGAGGGGACAAGGGTGGTTCAACACAAATTGGGGACTAAAACGAGAAAATATTTTACAGAAATTTACGGTATGATTTATTTTTAAAGTTTTAGTGGTTTTGGGATCGAGCAGGATCAAACAAAAAATTGGGTATAATTTTGAAGTGAAGATCTTATAGATGAATAGATTGAAAGAAATAACAATATAGTTAAAGATACGGACAAAAAATCAGAGCAAGATAATAAGACTGGAAGGGAGAAAAAGAGTTGGAGAGAACTGGTGAGAGTGGAGGAAAAATTAATGAAAAGAATTTGAGAGAGATTGTTACTTTTAAAGTTAGAAATCATTAATTTTAAATTTTTTTAGAAGACTTTGTTATATTTTAGAGTTTTCTATAACGTTTTAGATAGACTTGTGAAATATATTTGATATTTAACTTAGTTCTTTCAAAAGGGCCTCAGAATTTGAAACTAAACAAAATGTTGAAAATTAAGGGTAACGTTTTCGTTTTTATGTTTTTTTGTTATAAAAAAAACAAAACTAAGTTTTGTTTTTTTGGTGATAAAAACTAAAAATATAATACATGTTTGATAGTCATTTTATATTTAAAAAATTGTGAAAACAAAAATAAAAAATCTGTTTGGTATTATACAAAAAATTTACCACCCAACCACCACTGACCACCTAAAACCATCACTCAACCCCACCCATCGAAACCCACCCCAACCCCCACT